AGTTTGAAAAATAATGAAATCGTAGTGATTTGGAACAAAACTTTTTTCAATTTTTTATTTTGCAATAAATGTCAATAACGCAATTTTCAACTCCGCATTGTTAGTTTGAACATTTTACGAGGCATAAGTATCCAATGTTTAAACTCTTTTTTCGAAAAACCGTATATAAACGGAACTACTTTTTCTGGCTTATCTATAAAATAACCTATCTGCATAGGGGAACGGATGGGACAAGTTTTTCTTAAATAAGCGAAAAATGGTGGTTCCTCAAATCCCTCTTTGCAAAATGAAGTTACCACTTACGCATGCGCTCGTGACTTTTTCATTTGCTAGCGACTTCAATTTAATTGCATGCTTTCGGAAACTCAGAATTGAGAGGGAAACAGGAATACTGCCGTGATAAGGAAGAACAACGTATGAGCATTCGAGAGTTACCAAATTTCCTCCAGTAAAATGTTAATTTTTTAGGAGGGTTGTGGACATTTTCCCTAGAAATTTTCAGATACATAGATTAAATTGTGATTGAATTCCTGTAAAAAAATTGTAGAAAAATATCCACAAATTTTCTAGGAATTTTGTATTTTATCGAAGGAAATTTGGCAACGCTTGTAGGCTCATACGGCATTTTTCCTTAGCACGCCAGGATAGACAGACACCAAGATGAACGACAATTCCGTTTATCTGCAATAGCTAGCTCAACAATTAACCAACGGCGCACAGTGGATCGAGTCAATTAGGGAGGTCGGACATGAAATTTTGGACTAAAACTGCAAATTTTGATGTTTATTTCGTCACATTTTAAAGAGCGACGCCAAGAATGGCACAATTTGGGCCAGAAGGGATTTTTCTGAAACCGGGCCCAAACAATACCTTATGATACCCTAAAACTCTGGTAAAAATTTTAGCTTGAGTATACGCACCATTTTTGAAAAATGGGGGGGGCAAAGTTGCCAAATCGCCATCATTCTGGACAGCATTTTTACAGCAAAAAGACGGGAAAAATGGACGAAAAAGTTACACCATTGATGGGTTTGGGCTGTAAATGTTCTTATTGAGCCCCCGTGCATGTGATTATCTTCAGTTTCAAAAATTTTGGACGTACAGTGGTTTAAAATGGGGAGAAATCGTGGACAGATAAGGATTCTTTGTCAAACTTTTTAAAAATGGAAGTAAAATTGTTGGTCTACTGCAGAACAATGTTCTTATCGGTCTTCAATGCATTCAATTGGGTTCAGTTTATCAAATTTTCATCGCACAATGGTCCAAAATGGGAAATTAGTGGAAAAATTAAGATCTTCTGCCTAACTTTTTAAAAATGATGTACGACTATTGGTTCCCAGTAGACTTTAGATCCCAGAAAAATTCTTTAAATTCTTTTTTTTGACTATTTAAATCTTTTTTACATTTTTTCTCTCCACTTTTCTTTCTTTTTTTTAAATTTCTGAAAGTTTGCATATTTTATTGAAATAATGCTACAAAGTCTATTCTATAACAACGTTCTATAAACAATACGGTCTGACATATATAAATAATTAAAAAAAATAAAAACATGCATTTTTCCGGGATTTAAACTCTACTGAGGACCAACAGTTTGACTGAGGATCTTAATTTGTCCACTAATTCCCCCATTTTTGACCACTGTGCGATGTACATTTGTGAAGCTGAACACATTTTCATACATTGAGGACCAATAAGAACATTGTTAGCCATGAAAACTGCAGCAGACCGACAATTTTACTTCCATTTCTAAAAATTTGACAAAGAATCCTGATTTGTCGACGATTTCTTCCCATTTTGGACCACTAAGCGACCAAAATTTTTGAAACTGAACACAGTTAAATGCTTGGGGGCCCAATGAGAACATTTACAGCCGAAACCCATCAAATATTTGACTTTTTCGTCCATTTTTCCCGTCTTTTTGCTGTAGAAATGCTGTCCAGAATGATGGCGATTTGGCAACTTTGCCCCCTCATTTCTCAAAAACCGGGCGTATACTCAAGCTAAAATTTTTACCAGAGTTTTAGGGTATCATAAGGTATCGTTTGGGCCCGGTTTCAGAAAAGTCCCTTCTGGCCCAAATTGTGCCAAAAAACGGTCGTTTTTGGCGTCGCTCTTTCAAGGGGTGTCTGTAGAAGAAAATTTCACGAGGAAACCAGTGAAACCACTTTTAGAACCTCAAAGTTTTGTTTAAACGAAGTTATAAGCGTTTAAAGTTTCCAAATTTTGTCCGACCTCTCTAATTGACTCGATTTATTGTGCGGCGGTTGGTTAATTTGGAAATCGGTTTCAAAAAGCGTTAGCGAGTTGTTGTGAGGATTGCTGCATCAGACGAAGAGAAAGCAATATAAATACTTAATCTTATTGATCGAGGCGATTCGCAAATCGGGGAAAATTACCACTACCAACACATCGGTAGCGGTGTGGTGGTGGCGACAAGTTCGGCGATAAGTAATTCGATTTGGATAATTATCTGGCGAAACTGTTTCACCGTTGAGGATTCACGAGGTTTGGTGATAATGACCTCATTCATTGTATTCTTCGCGCCCTCTGTTAATGGGGTCAGAACGTCATGATTGACTTGGTAAAAAGATGCAAAAATCTTACTGAATATTTTTCAATTCTTGATAAGATCCACCGTGTTTCGATCTCCGGCTTGTCATAAGTGAGCGCTTGAAGCGTGTTGAGTGTTGAGCTTTTTTAAATTTTGAATCGGCACAAAGGAATAGCTATATTTTTTGTTTAACATACTTAGTTTAAAAGAGTGTGTAGTAAAATTACTTCCAATCACGTGGTCCCGTTGCTTATGTTTGTAATTATAAATTAATAATTAATCTTCAAAGAAGTAGAGGTGCTTAAGTTTGTTTGCACTTTTGCGCAGAGGAAGGGATTTCTGTCCAAGAGGGAAAAATCCGTAGTAAAGCGATTTTTGTTGAGTCTGATTGAACAATTAAATTTTAAAATTTCGACAGAAAACTCAAGCTAACATATCTAGGACTGAAATTGTGAGTCAAAGGTAGTTTATAGTTTATGTCAATGAGAAATGTAAAATAGCATTAAAATCCAACGAAATCCTATCTTAGGCACGGCACATTAGAATCTCAGATAGCTTTTTTTTCCGAACACCACGTTCTTTGAACTGCAAACTTTGAACCGCCATAAATCCGGTTCGATCTGGCATTTTTGGCCGTTTTTTGTCCCAATTTGAATGGGGAGCACTGTTATACGTCCACTAAATATCAATAACTAAATTATTTTGAGTTTCCATGAACTTGTGTCGCTTTTCTCGTGGTAAAAGATAAAAAAAAAACTTTCGGTTTGCGCTTTTTTTGTCTCGAAAAGATAAGAGAAGGCCGTTGACAGCCGCGTAGTTTTTAGTCTATCTGTTTAAGGTATGGTTGCGTAACAAGAGAAAAAATGGAGTTAAAAATTGAAAAAAGTGGGGTTTTATCGAGTTGTTGCTTCAATATGGCAGCAGTGCGACTCGATCACGCATGAAAGATGGTCTGGCACGCGGTCTTGGCTTAATGACGATCGTAACTTGCGATACAGTAAGAGGACTGACAGCTCAATCAGTCCCACGGCCATCGCCAAAACAAGATTGCCCGGAAATACTAAAAATGAAATTCCTGATAAAATATTGAAAACAAAATAATTAAAACTATGTTTTGTCGGTTCGGCAGCGGCGCAATATCGCCACGCGATAGTAGCTCTTAATATGCTCTTAATTTGCCGTGTCTTTAGGCACCTGTGATCATCTTTTAATCACCGGCAACTTAAACATCATTAATTTGTAACCACGGATCTCAAAATTCCCACGCAAAAATACAACGGTATTTTTATGCTTAATTTTTTACTTATTTTTTTACTCCCAGATATTCTTTGACAGCCCTCGGCGAATTCGGGGATGAAATACAACCCATAATTCTTTGGGGGGAAGGGGGAAGGGGGTTCAATTCAAACAATTGTCCATGGTTTACATTCGCGGTAATTGAACTATCGTGACTTTTTATACAAGAAAAATCAACCCTCTTATTATCATGTTGCTTTGAACTCTGTAAATTCTTCTCGCATAGTGGGTGACCTCACAAAAATTCATGTTAGCACTCTGCTGAAAAAATTAAACAAGAGAAAAAAGCCGACAACGTCTGATATAGTTAAGCCGATTCTATGTTAAAGTCGTCTGAAATCCTCCTGGATTAGTGCGAATCAATGGCGATTTCAACAAGTTTGCAATACTACTTATTTTTTTCCATTTAAATCTATGTTAAACAATCGATTCTAGGCGAGGCAGCCCCTTCTCACCCAGAATCGATAAACTCAATGGATTTAAATTGAGTATTAACAGAGTTGCCAACTCACTGGAATCGCCATTGGTGCAAATTCTCATTGAAGTATGAATAAAATGTTCCGTCGCTTCAAGAAAACTTCCTTCCAATCCAAAAAGCCTTTAGGTTGCTGTAGGATTTCTGTTCTCACGCTGTTCCAATAGGAAACGCTCCTCAACGATGATTCGTCCGGTTAGATAGCTGTACTGTGATGCTAAGAAAGAACGCCGTATGAACATTCAAGAGTTGCCAAATTGCCCGGAAATTTTATTATTTTTGAAGAAAATTATGCATTTTTTCTTTGAAATTTTCAGACGTCTCTGATAAAATTGCGAAAAAAAGTGTCTGGAAAAATTGAAGAAAATTATTCACACTTTTCCTAGTAAATTGCAGGTTCATATTAAAGAAAATATGGCAACCTCTGAAAGCTCATACGGCGTTCTTCCTTAGTTCGGCAGTGTAGCCGGCGCGTTTTTGCTTTTGCGGAAATCCTTGATAAAAAGTGCAATTTGTGCAACTCGAAAGCTCATTTATCATGGGCGTAAATTCCCCCTTGGTCTTGTATAGGAATAGCCGTTTAGTTTACCCGTGGGCGACTGTGTATCCTACAACATCCTTTCCCGTGTAATTACGCTAATGACTCATTTCACGTTCATTTTTCATGTTTTCTTCCAGGTGCAAGGAGAGTCGAAGGTGAAGGCAACTGAGTTGGTCTCGAAATCTTCGCAGAAGCTGCAGTACAGAGGTCTCATAGGCACCATCGCTACCATCGCGAAAAAAGAAGGACCAAAGTAGGTTGGAACTCCTTTTCACTGCTGTGAGGTTTTAAACTGAATGTCCTTAGGCAAGAGATATCTATTCTCAAAGGAAGATTATTCATTTGATGAACAACGTGACAATGGTTAAATTCGAGATATGCATAGCTCAATGCAATGGTTAGAATAACCGCCGGTTATATTTATTTTATTTTTTTTCCCCTCAAGGAAAACTACTCTTCCACATAATTGTGTTTGTATCTTCTTCCTCCAAATGAGTAAAGGAAATCCGCAGAAAATTTTAATAGAGACTAAATACTAGTTTCCTTTAAAATAATAAAACATGAGCGGAGACGTATAACGTCAAGTACATAAAATTATTTTATAAAGACGCTGTTTTTTTTAAAAAAATCTCTGTGTGGATTGATCCCTCCCATACTGCATGTGAAATGCAACTATTTTAACATTCAAGTGACACAAATTACATAATCATCACAATGAAGGAGTTTTAATACCAGGGCTTGATTACTTCCCATAAAGGTTGTAATTGAAACTTCTTAAAATCGTCTACTTTAAATTCTATATACCTCGATTTCTGTTCATTGTACAATCGATATTGTATAGAGGTGATCATAGATTCTCGCCATCTATTTTATTGTAATGTTAAGTAGCAAAAAGCACCGTCAGGACTTCTTGGTCTGCGAGAATTTTATTCCGGGAGAAACTCATTTTTTTAGGGTAGTGCTGTTTATATATCCTGAGAGTTTTTTTGTCGCAATGTTTACCTCCTATAATTCGTTTTCTTCATGATTGCAGGAGTTTGTTCAATGGTCTCTCAGCAGGTCTCCAAAGGCAACTATGTTTCGCCAGTGTTCGTTTAGGTTTTTACGACTCAGTCAAATCTCTTTATATTCAACTATTTTATGGTGAGAAAATTTTAAATTTTCTAGTTTTATTTACATCATTTTCGGTGACATTTTAATTTAGATTGACCTCCCATACAAGCTGTTAAATATTCATCACCGAACGGTACCGGTAGTCACGAGCATTTGAACATAGACGAGATAAATTAAAATCCTGAATGTTGAATATGTCGGCAATGAGTAGAGATTTGAATGCTAAATTTCGTCGGCAAGGTATCGCCTTCAAGAGTAAATGATACCATTTGTTAAACAGGCAAACTTCCGTGCTCCGCGTGCAGGCCCTCACGGCACGGATAAAAAAAATTCCTGCATGGGGTTTAGGTTAAATGGATGTCTGAAGTTTTCGGATGGTGCCAACTGGTAAATTTTTCCTGTATAAGTCTTCAAAGGAAACTGCTGGTTTTTTAAAATTTTTGTGGCATACGCATTCAACATAGATCTTTATAGAGTTTTATAACACCTCCTTTCCTTTGATTGGACTTAATTTTGCAATTAGGAACTAAAATTTCTGGCTCATGTGTAAAAACACGTGCAAGCATAGGGAAATAATGGCACATACGTTGTTTCTAAACTGAAACAGAAATTGTAGTTCCACATTGCAAAGTCCATTCCAATTATATCTCATGTATGCTAATGTATTTGCTCCCTACCTTTGTATAGAGAGTTTGTCTTGATGTAGAGGTGGACTCTCAGGATAGCGTGGGATATCCCCTCCATTTTGGCCTCAACTTGAGAGCTTTTTTTGAGCTTGGGAGTTGATTTCAGAGAAAATCAGTGGCACCATCGTGTCTCTGGAGAACTTTTACGTAAGAATCAATAGACAAATCGCAAGTTCCTCACACATGCAACATCTCCATTGTATTTGAAGTGTCATTTAAGTGATTTTTTGTAAAATAATAAGTTTTTTTTTTTCTGTACAGGTAAATCACAAAACAACGGCATGGCCATCCTACCCCGCGTGTGCGCCGGAATGACGACAGGTGGCCTAGCTGTCCTGCTGGCACAACCCACCGACGTCGTCAAAGTGCGATTCCAGGCCCAGCAGTCCGCCAAAGCCGCACCCAAATATTTAAGCACCCTCCAAGCGTACCGTACCATTGCTAGAGAGGAAGGCGCCGCGGGACTTTGGAAAGGTCAGTACAGTATAATTCGACATCCTCGCCTACTATACTGCGGGAAGTTAGCAGCGTTTTCCAGCGCGCCTTCAATTATTCGCTTATGCAACACGGGCAACCGCTAAGCTGGCTTAGTTGTATTCAGGCGTTCAACCTAACTCTTTCTTATCCTGCGGCAAGGATGCCACTTTTTAAGTTTGTTTTCTTCGAACGGACGAGTAGATTTTCTTTCAAATTTAGCCTTCTTTCTTTATGTTTCTTTTTTTATGCGAAGAAGAGTATGAAATTTCAAAGTACAATTTTGATTGTTTTAATGACAGGAAAGCCCGAATGCATTTCAAGCAGGTACGGCGCAAATATATCTGAAAATGTTAAGGGAAAGATAATGTGTCTCCAAAAAATACATTTTTACAGCTTACTTCCCTCTTAGACGATTCCGTCATGTATTAATTTCCCCTTTGAGGAATCTATAAAAAAAAAATCTAAGATCATTGCTCCAACCTGATCGTGACGTAGTTGGTGAATTATGTATCGATTATTTAAGTAAAGTTAGTTACAATTTGAAAAACGCAACGTCAGGACGCAAGTTTTAATTTCACAGCACCAAATTAACCTTTTTTTCAAGCCACAGGTCTCGCATTCATCTATTTTTGTCAACTTGAGAAATGTTTTTCTCAATATTCTAAGAACTTCATTTAGCAAGCTTATTCGCGTACTAAAGCTTTTGAAGCTACTTTCATGCTCTGTAATGTATTCCCTAGTGTTTCTGTCTTTACAACATCTTTTGCATCTCATGTTACAGGTTGTGCAACTAATGCTAGTCGAAATGCTATTGTTAACGTATCAGAAATCGTATGCTACGACATCATAAAAGAAGCAATCATCACTAACGGGTTGCTGAAAGACGGAATTCCGTGTCATTTCACTTCTGCTGTCATCGCAGGTGCGTTTTCTTTGCCTTTTTCACTCTCAGAAAACACTCATCTATGGTTGGCTCAGAGCCTTTGAAGAGAGGACGAGGATCAACAGGACTTATTTCTGCCGAAAGGCACTATGCGCAATATGACGTGAGCTCTGTCATGCGTATATTCTTATGGATATCAGGGCTCATGCCTTAATGCACATAGTTCCGTTTGGCAGAAATACGTCCAATATGCACGTATGAGGAAGGGGGGCTGAGGACAACGGAACCTCTCACCCAAAAAGTTCCAGCCCCCTGAAAAAGTTGACCTGCAACACATTCAACACGAGAATAAATGTTTTAAAAATCTTCCCCAGTTCTCCTCCAAAATTTTGAGTTTTGGAGAGGTATGCAAAAAGGACCAAAAGTTTTTACTGTTTTTCATTGACAGAAATGGTCTATATACTTAATGGCATTCTTGAAAAGAATTAAAGTGCATTTGGGATTTAAATTTTTTGAAATTTCATCGTGAAATGTCACCCGAGTATCTGCCATGAATTTCACAGTTTCTGCTTTTTCTCTAGACGTAGATTCTATAGGAACAACGCACGAATGGTATGTCTTTTTTTCGAGCGACTTCATGACAGACGCATATTCGCGATTTGATAAGCTTCGTGAGTTCTCTTGAATTCTATGGCATGGGATGGAGGGGGGTCGGGGCTGCCTGCAATTCACAGTGCATGTGAACATGTTTAGTCGGAAATAACATAGAGTTGCATTCCCAAAAGTGTACATTTAAAACATGTCTGTGAGGCAATTCCCTCTGAGCCCCCCTCCCACGAGACAGGCGTTAGAGTTGTCTGATGATAGGTTTACCAGGTCATAATAAATTAATGGCCAAAATACTTTGCGCTGTCACCAATGTCACCACTGTAAACTCCAGGGATAGGGAGGGGGGAGATACGAGGAGAGTTCCTATTCTGCCAAGCTAAGGAAAAACACCGTATGAACCTTTAGGCGTTGCCAAGTTTCCTCTGATAAAACACGAATTCCCTGGTAAACTGATGAATATTTTCATTCCGATTTTCAGATAATTTTGTTCGCAATTTCGCCTGAAAATTTCAAGGAAGAACATTATTAACCTTTATTACCATTATTAACCTTCCTCAAAAATAAAAATTTTATCGAGGAACATTAGGCAACTCTCGAATGTTCATACGGCGTTCTTCCTTAGCACGGCAGTATTGCATTCGTTTCTTGTGTATGTGTGTGTGTGCGTGTATATGTAGTTACGATATACTTAATTTTCTGTTAGCTAACTTAAAGAGTCCCTGAAATATTTAGTTGAATTTTCAATGAATTTGACTGTGCACAGGAAAAAATATCTCATTGCTGCGAGACTCAAAATTAAGATATATAATAAGATATGCTTTGCTGACGACCAGGTAGTCATAAGTCAAGATCACGATGACGCGGAGTATATGACCCGGAAGTTGGTGGAGGAGTACCGCAAATGGGGCCTCGAGGTTAGTGTCCGTAAGACAAAAAAGATGTCAGTCGGAGGCGCTCAGCAAAGCATAGTCCTGGAGGATGGTCAACATATAGAAAGTTGCGAACAATACAAGTACCTGGGGGTGAACCTGACTTCGGATGGGAAGCTGGATCAGGCCATTCGGGACCGTAATCTTCTAGGAAGGAAAGCCATCGCCATGCTTAATGGGATCCTTTGGGACCAAAGGATTTCCAAAGACAACAAGAAGAGGATTTATAACTCGGTTGTCAAGCCTATTATCACCTATGGCAGTGAAGTGTGGCAGTTGAAGAAGCGGNCAGCTATATGATTTTCTGTAGCCTTCTTTAGCCGGCTATAAGGATTCTTATGGTATTTTGAAACGCAGCTCTTATCGCCAATTTTTACCAGAAACTTAATTTCTGGCTCATGTGTAAAAACACGTGCGAGCATAGGGAAATAATGGTACATACGTTGTTTCTAAACTGAGACAGAAATTGTAGTTCCACATTACAAAGTCCATTCCAATTGTATCTCATGTAAATTGGACTCCAATTAGGAACCACAAATTCTGGCTCAGTTTATAGAAACAATGTACCATTAGTTTCCTCATACACACACATAAGTGTCTTTACAGATCAGCCAGAAATTTCAGTTCCTAATTGCAAAATGTAGTCCAATAACACTCAAAATAATACTCAAAACGTGTCGCCTGAAATATCAATTTCAGCAGTTTGTTTTGGGAGTTTTCGTCGTAAAATTACGATTTTTTAAAACGTTTTTTAACCTGTCATTGCCACTAAGATTATCGTCGGTCTCTTGTTACCCGAGAAGCCTCTACTGCTGAAATGATTAATTTTACCGCGTTAAACAGAAAGGAACCAAGCCACATCAGCTATTGCCAAATTTAATTGGCTAATTTAATCGTTTACATGAAAACGGTTGTGCGGATTTTTGTGCAAATTTCAGTGAATTTTCTCCACAGTACGAAGCAAATTCCTTAAACTTTTCAAAGGAATCCACACAAACGTTCTGGTAAAAAATCAAATTCCCCTGTAAATAGCTGATGTGGCTTGGTTCCTTTCTGTTTAACGCGGTCCAATTGCAAGACTTGTGTCATTCAAATTGTCTTTTGTTAGATTTTAAGTTTTTTATCACTCCTCACATGCAAATCACAAAACCACGTAATGCTCGCTATCCTCCACTGAAAGGAGCCATGGCCAAAATTGTATTTGAAGTGTCATTTAAGTGATTTTTTTTGTTAAATAATAAGTTTTTTTTCTGTACAGGTAAATCACAAAACAACGGCATGGCCATCCTACCCCGCGTGTGCGCCGGAATGACGACAGGTGGCCTAGCTGTCCTGCTGGCACAACCCACCGACGTCGTCAAAGTGCGATTCCAGGCCCAGCAGTCCGCAAAAGCCGCACCCAAATATTTAAGCACCCTCCAAGCGTACCGTACCATTGCTAGAGAGGAAGGCGCCGCGGGACTTTGGAAAGGTCAGTACAGTGACCCGATATCCTCGCCTCATATGCGGGAAGTTAGCAGCGTTTTCCAGCGCGCCTTCAATTCTTCGCCTATGCAACACGGGCAACCACTAAGCTGGTTTAGTTGTATTCAGGCGTTCAACATAACTCTTCCTTATCCTGCGGCAAGGATGCCTCTTTTTAAGTTTGTTTCGTCGAACGGATGAGTAGATTTTCATTCAAATTTAGCCTTCTGTCTTTAGGTTTCTTTTTTTATGCAAAGAAGAGTATATCGACGGTGAAAGTCGGCAATCACATAACTCGTTTGCGATGTCTGAAAATCTCCGCCTCTATGTTATTTTTTAAAAGAGAACAAATTGACATCATTTCTTGAAGCTATGCAGAATTTTCTTCGCACAGAGAAGAAAAATCACGGAAGTTTTAAAGAATTGCCGTTGAGTAGTTTTCCGTTTAAAAAAGTAAAAATAACGTATGACAGGAATTCTACGACGTCGCAAACCGAGTTATGTGATTGCCGACTTACACCGTCGATATGAAAATTTCGAAGTACTATTGATTGCTCTAATGATAGGAAAGCCCGAATGCATTTTAAGCAGGTACGACGCAAATATATCTGAAAATGTTGAGGGAATGATAATGTGTCTCCGAAAAATACAATTTTACAGCTTACTTCCCTCTTAGACGATTTATCATGTATTAATTTCCCCTTTGAGGAATCCATGAAAAAAATCTAAGATCATTGCTCCAACCTGATCGTGACGTAGTTGGTAAATTATGTATCGATCATTTAAGTAAATGTTAGTTACAATTTGAAATACGGAACGTCAGGACACAAGTTTTAATTTCACAACACCAAATTAACCTTTTTTCAAGCCACAGGTCTCGCATTCATCTATTTTTGTCAACTTGAGAAATGTTTTTCTCAATATTCTAAGAACTTCATTTAGCAAGCTTATTCGCGTACTGAAGTTTTTGAAGCTATTTTCATGCTCTGTAATTTATTCCCTAATGTTTCTGTCTTTACAACATCTTTTGCATCTCATGTTACAGGTTGTGCAACCAATGCTAGTCGAAATGCTATCGTTAACGTATCAGAAATCGTATGCTACGACATCATAAAAGAAGCAATCATCACTAACGGGTTGCTGAAAGATGGAATTCCGTGTCATTTCACTTCTGCTGTCATCGCAGGTGCGTTTTCTTTGCCTTTTTCACTCTCAGAAAACACTCATCTTTGGTTGGCTTAGGGCCTTTAAAGAGAGGACGAGGATCAACAGGACGTATTTCTGCCGAACGGCACTATGGGCAATATGACGTGAGCTCTGTTATGCGTATATTCTTATGGATATCAGGGCTCATGTCTTAACGCACATAGTTCCGTTTGGCAGAAATACGTCAAATATGCACGTATGAGGAAGTGGGGCTGAGGACAACGGAACCTCTCACCCAAAGAATTCCAGCCCCCTGAAAAAGTTGACCTGCAACAAATTCAACACGAGAATAAATGTTTTAAAAATCTTCCCCAACTCTCCTCCAAAATTTTGAGTTTTGGAGAGGTATGCGAAAAGGACCAAAAGTAGTTACTGTTCTTCGTCAACAGAAATGGTCTATATACTTAATGGCATTCTTGAAAAGAATTAAATTGCATTGGGGTTTTATTTTTGAAATTTCATCGTGAAATGTCACCCGAGTATCTGCCATGAATTTCACAGTTTCTGCTTTTTCTCTAGACGTAGATTCTATAGGAACAACGCACGAATGGTACGTCTTTTTTTCGAGCGACTTCATGACAGACGCATATTCGCGATTTGATAAGCTTCGTGAGTTCTCTTGAATTCTATGGCATGGGATGGAGGGGGGTCGGGGCTGCCTGCGATTCACAGTGCATGTGAACTTGTCTAGTCGGAAATAACATAGAGTTGCATTCTCAAAAGTGTACATTTAAAACCTATGTCTGTGAGGCAATTCCCTCTGAGCCCCCCTCCCATGAGACAGGCGTTAGAGTTGTCTGATGATAGGTTTCCCAGGTCATAAATGGCCAAAATACATCGCGCTGTCACTAATGTCACCACTTTAAACTTCAGGGACCGGGAGGGGGGAGATACGAGGAGAAGGCCTATTTAGCCGTGCTAAGGAAGAACGCCGCATAAGCCTTCAGGCGTTGCCAAGTTTCCTCCGATAAAAACCGAATTTACCAGGAAAATTCTGAAAATTATTTTCCCAAAATTTTAGACAATTTTGTGCGAAAATTAATTTAAAATATCTGAAAATTTAAAGGAAAATTATCCATGAATGTTGTCAAAAATACATGTTTTATCATAGGAAATTTGGCAACTCTCGAATGTTCATACGGCGTTCTTCCTTAGCGCGGCTGTATTGCATTTCTATGTGTATGTGTGTGTGTGCGTGTATATGTATTTACGATATACTTAATTTTCTGTTAGATAACTTAAAGAGTCCCTGAAATATTTAGTTGAATTTTCACTGAATTTGACTGGGCACAGGAAAAAATATCTCATTGCTGCGAGACTCAAAATTAAGATAAACGTAACAAGTTACTGAGCACTGGGGCGTTTTACGAACCTCCCTCCGTTCCCAAAAAAAGCTTGAATATTGCAAATCGACGTTTGCAATTCTAAAGACGTACCTACACTAGAATCCTGTGGATAGCCCTCAATTTTCATAGCTTAAGCATGATAACATTTGAAGAGGCAATAATACTGAAAATAAATTAAACCTGTTTGCAATCTTCCCTCCATTTACTCCCCCCCCCCTTCTTTTTATGATTTAATCTTGATATAAGTTCGTGTGCGGCGAGAAAAAGTATCCAACATGAGGGTACCGCTGTAGATCGAATAAGGCAAGAATGAGAACTTTCATCCATGCTCTACATGCCTCTTTCGGCTGAAAGTTAGTATTCGACGCAATGACATTTATTTTTAACATTATTTTTGCAGGATTCTGTGCCACATTGGTTGCCTCCCCGGTGGATGTGGTGAAAACACGATACATGAACGCCCCTCCTGGTAATTACTCTGGAGCTCTCGACTGTGCCGCTAAAATGTTTAAATCCGAGGGATTCAGTGCGTTCTACAAAGGGTAAGTTCACGATTTATCGCTGATTATGGTTATAGGACATTTTGTCAAGGATTTTTTGTCAGCGCACCTGTATTTTCCAGTAGTTCCCGTCCACGCGATTTTCCGGCAGGGAAGTTTTGGTCCACGTACCAATTAATATTGAGACTCAAAATAAAATATTCTTGACTGCATACCTACTCAGGAATTTTTTCGCCGGCACGGCGAGCGGGCGGCCAGCGCGATACGCGCATTGGCGCCTACAAACCAGTGGATACTTCAAACATTGCGCAATGCGTGAAGTATCCCCTCAGGTTTAAAGGCGCTAGTGAGCCTCTCGCGCTGGCTGCACGCCGCTCCCCTCTGTTTAGCTCTAATATTTAAACTCGCAGAGTCAGCGTTTTTCAACTCATGATATTGAAATGCTTGCACACTCTGCATGGACTATTCTCATTTAAATCGATGAAAAAAGATATGTAGGTAATAAAGGAAAATATATTGTGTATTCTGTAAATATTAAGGTGATTCCGTGTCAAATTTAATGATTTTCAAAGCCCTCTAATTTTTTCTTTCATATTTTGTGCTTTTACTGTGCTGCAGCGCAACCAAACGTTCAAAATTGGACATATTTGATTCTAACAGATCGATGTACACATGGGTTAAAACCAAAGATTGCGTGCTTTTTGGGTTTTCCCCTCTTTTATTCATTTTTGTATAGTTCCTTTCAACACAACTACGGCTCATTGAGATTAATACCAATATACCATCGCTTAAAAATGTTTTACAAATATTTACTGCGTTTTGGATATGTAAATTTCTTTAAAATGAAGTAATATGTTTCATTTAAAAAAAAAACACAAAGAGGTATAAAAAAGGTATATTATAGAACGAAAATTTTAAGGATAGAAATAGAAACAGGTATTCACTTATGACAATTTGAAAAGATGAATCAAAAGACGAAAGTAACATTTCATTTAAAAAATGAGTTACCACCTCCTCAACACCTGAGTAAGTCAACACCTCCTTCTCTCTCAATTTTCTCATTTCGATATTGTCATATAATTTTATATTCGGAGTAAAATATACCTAATGCTTGGACCAAGTCACTGTTGCTTATTTTACGCATGGATGTAAACTACTGGACAAAACAGGTGCGTGGACAAAAAATCGTTGACGGGATGTCCTGGAACCCTGATTATCATATGGGCTCAATCCATAAATAGAGAGTGAGAAAAAACTAGAACGCTAGAAGTAATAAAGGAATTACAGACGATGGCTCGAAAAACAGAGCCACGCAAGATTTACGACTATAAAACTCTCTGAGTTTCGGCATCATGTTATTTTCCTACTTCTACTTTCTGTGATTCAGAATATGTATTACTTGAGTCCAATTCGTTATTTTACTTAAGTGTTGCTTGTTTTAACCGATTTCAACGGTGATTAAATTAAATATAAACCAGAAGTAAAATCACTTCGGCTCTCTGCGATTCTCTATGCTTCCTGGTGCTGAAAACAGAAATTTCGCGCCAAAAGATCGCGCCTTTATAATTCTGCCTTTTGATTGGCAGATCACGATCCCGCAGTTTTGGCGGCTAAATCGACCGCGAAGTTTGAAAAGACGCGCCTTCAACTTTCGTGCGTCAATCGCTTCACATCACTGAGCTCGAGTGCCACCAACACCACTTCTGACGATATTTTTTTTCTCGATTTTTATCCATTTATCGTCAGTCATTTTAGGTTTGACTTGGTAATTCAGCCAAATTGGTGTTGCTTTTAAAGAAAATTATATTTCATGACTTATCGTTATTGTATTTTTTTCTTTTCTAGATTCACACCATCGTTCTTCCGATTGGTCAGCTGGAATATCGTTTTGTGGTTGAGCTATGAACAAATCAAAATCGTCATCACGGATAGCAAATACTTCAAAGATCGCCAAAATGTCAATTAATCGCTTTGAACATCATACACCTCGATGACTGTTACAAAGATGAAACCCCTTATTTATTTTTGAATTATATTTTAGAGTATTGTTAAATTCTATTTTAGACCTAAGAGGTTTAGTACTCCCACCTTTCTGAGTCAAACTCAAAAGTTAAAGAAAGTTTTAAAAAACAATAAACTAAATGAAAAAGTACAAAAAAAAAATTAAAAAATGCATGTATAAATTAATGACAACAAAAAAATGACGAAAGATGTTTGTAAATAAATGAAGAAGATAAAGAGACAAAGATTTTTTAAGACTGAAATGAACTTTTGTGGTTTTTATTTTCCATCCTCTCTACCTTATTCAATGACAAGGGTTGATCAGCCATGTAACGATTGACTAATTTTCTGATTTCTTTCCCTCTAGTCTTTTTCTCCTCTTGGGCAAAAAGTTTCAATCAAAATCCTAGTGACATACATTAGTTCTAAATTCATTTTCTCAATTAACCTACGCCCGTACAATTATCTTGTTGCGACCCGCACCCAGCTTTTTATACCTGTTGGCTATTAACGGTAACTTTGAATATTTTTTAATACCCATAAAACTCATTCAATGATGCTTAAACTTGAGAGTCTTACAACATAAAATACACTTTGTGGGAAAATAACGGAGATTAGCTGTCGAAAACTGTTTCCTTAGTTACCATTGTCATTATCGAAAAAATTCACGTCATTAAATTGAGTACCGGGGGAAGAAGAGCAAAACGTACTGATCAGGTTTTGAGGACCCTGCAGTTTGGCACAGAAAACCGAGGAATTTTTTAAACTAAATTTTGATACCAATTATGTAATCATACGGGAAACATTGTTTGAAATTCTGTCCTTTGTTTCCTCTTGAGCACTATCAGCTAATAAAATCAAACTTTGTAGGTGCCAATTTCAAGTAGGGCTGAGAAGTGACTTTTTCAGTATTTTTACCTGAATTTCCTGATTAAGATATGGTACAACTGCTTCGTCAGAATGCAAAATCTTAGTTGTAAGGAAATAAACATGAGGTTGCCCAGCGTCTGCCTCATTTTCTTGAATGACAACAGCAAGGAAAGAGGAGCTTTTCTAAATCTCGAACATTTAAACAACATGATGCCTGGTAAAATGTTAAAAAATTCACTTCACAGACCCTGCTTCTTTCAAAATTTGCACATAGAAAATTTTATCTTAAAAACTAGTTGCATTCAGGAGGTCGTATAGTGCATCATATCGTCACCTTCCAGGCAAAGTATCACAAGCTTCATGCGACGTTTAAAAATTTCCACCGCCATTTTATTTTTTTACAGAGAAATTGTTCAACGAAGCTGTCCGAAAATTTCACTGAATTTTCTTTGTGCTGCCGATAAAATTTAGTGAAATTTCCAAACAGATTCAACCAACAATTTCTCAGTAAAGAAATAAAATGGCGGCGGAAATTTTTAAACATCGCATGGCGCTTGTGATACTTTGCCTGGAAGGTGACGATATATCAAAGGTCGTAAGAACATCATATCAAAGGTCATAAAGAACATCATATCAAATGAAGTCAAAAAACTAGAGTCAGTCCGCTGGTATTCAGTGCAGCAAGCTGATTGTTGAAGTTGGTAGACAAAGCAATAGACAACGAAGACAAAATTGATATGAAGGGATCCTATTGGTGGAAGCGGGTGGGGTAATAGACTAACTAACAGTAACCTACAAGAGACTCTATAGTTAATTCATCATTTTCTCCTTTTGTCTACAGGAACCACTCATTTCAACCAGTAAGATTGCTCAATGCTCCCTATGTCTTCTTTGTCTATTGCTCAGCCTGCCACTTTCAACAATCAGCCTGCAGGGTTCATTAAAGCAAGGTTTTCTAAGCAACAATACGCGAGAGTATCTTGAAATTTCAGTAATAATTTATTTAAGAAAACAATGATTAAGTACTATATTACAATAGAGAACAGGGGAATACTTATGACACAAGAAATAACATTTGTATAAAATTTTATGAACAGAAAACGAGTATTATTTACAAATTAGGGAGGTCCCATGGTTCCCATGGGGGGCCCCATTGGTGGCATTGAGACGGGATAGCCTTGCGGGGGACCAGGTCCCCCTACTATTCCACCTGGACCTTGCACTTGGTTTGGAGGCATACCCACTACTCCTGACATCGGAGAATGCATTTGTCCTTGATTTGGTCCGACAACTGGACTGGGTCCTTGAGACGGAGATTGGGCCATCTGTAGAAACAGAAACAGATAATAAGAGGGATGAGTTGCTATCTTTGAGCTGTAGCAGTAGAATTTCACATGTTGAAATGCGACTGATAAGAGAAAAGAAAATTCTATCTTAAAGACTAGAAATAATCTGCAATATTGATTATTACATAATGCATAAAATACAAATTTGCAGTCACACAATTTGTTTTCTGACTCGCATCATTCAATTCTTGCGAGTTGCACGAGGACAGCTTGATTTTTACACTGCATTCATGAACTATTTTTTGAAGAAATTAGTTTCGCGTATACTTTCAAGCATCGCTTATTCCGTTCATAGTACTTATATGGATTTTTATGAGGAGTCAGTAATCTAATCGAAAAAAATGTTACATGTCCACTATAGAAACGCCCATTACACTTAAAAAAATTACTATCCTCAACGGAAAGGTCAACACTTTTAGCTTGCAAGAACATCTGTCATCTAACATCGACAAAGATTACCTGCATAAGAGGAAAAAAAATGGAAACAAGGAGGAGAATGGTCAATATTGGGGAGAAATTCTCACATGGGTACACGACCCAATTTGAAAAAAACCTTGAAATCGAGTGTTTTATGGCCCCTGATTCCTGGAGTTTCTAGGAATCAGGGGCTGATTAAATGATGGCTGTTAACTAACAGCCATCATTTAATCAAATTGGAGCATAGAATTCTGTGAGTTGTTTACCTGTAAGTTTTCTGATGGTAGAGTGAAGTTAGCTAGAAGATCTCTGACAGCTGGAAAGATCGAACACTCGGTAAGATTAACGTTGAATTCTGAGAAACGCTTCATGTGTAGGCTAGCAGCAGAGGCAGCTGTTGCAGGGCCGGCATCTCGCTTTTCCGCCAACTGCGTAATGTTGGTTGTTGTATCGTATACAAGAGGTAACACCAAAGAAGGTGCTTCCCAGTTGACTCCAACACGAGTGATCTGTAACTGTTTGTAAAAAAAAGAAAAGGCGATATAGAATTAGAAATTATAGAGGGTAAAAAAATCTTTGATGGCTTCATTTGTGATATATATCAAGCAACTGTAGCGAATTATATTCATCACAAATTAGTGCAATTTACAGGATTCTCTGATTCCTATCCTTCACCATCAAACCAATAGTATACTAAAGCAATAATTTATTTAATCCTAGAGCAAAACACATATTGTTTTTAAAAAAAATAAAAAAAAAGTAAAAAGCAATCTTTTAAGTTTCACGTAGGTTCATCCTCAAGGTTGTATTTAGATACAAGACCGTTCACACAAAATGGAAATAAAGAAGATTGATAACAAAAGCGGTAATCATTGAAATTCAAAGAGCACTTACAAAGAAGAGTATCTTGTTTCTGCAAATTATGATCGCTGCCATTCCAGTCGGAACGATGGGTGTTGCGGAGCCAGGTATTGTGAGAGACCACTGGACGGCCCATTTCAACCCATTCTGTTGCACTAAACCAGGAACCTGCAAAAAATTAACATTTTTTTTTGGATATATTCTTTTGAGAGATATTTGATAACAAAGTAATGTAGATCAGGATGGATTTTACAGCATTATTTAAAAAGAAGAAAGAAAAAAAGATCTAGTTTGGTCAGCACTTTGCTAAGTTACTCAGATACTTCTCAGTAAGAGGTGAAAATGGCGACAAGGTTTTTCCTTGATCTAAAATGTTCTAGTTCAGAAAATTGTACGTAAAATCTGAACTTACGATTGTTTGAAGAATTAAGTTTTCCAACCTGGTAGTAACCCAACCTATTTGCATGGATGTAAAAATAGGTAGAAAATTTGAGAGAGTATATAAAAGGAGAACTTTGCTCAGTGAATGGAAGAACCGTACATTTCAGTTAAAGTTTTTCTTGGTTTCTTGAAAATTATATTAGCTCTCTAATTTTTTTTCAATGAATCAAAACTTCTGAACTTAAATTGGAACGGAAAATTGGCTAACTTGAATAGACTTGGGAAGGTAACGAAATTACTTGAATCCATCTTGGGACTATTGACTGGATAGTCGAACTGTTTCAACTGATTAAAAGATGCTGGAATTTAGTGAAAAATTTGATAAAAATTTTGGCTGGGTTTGAAAATGCTAATCATGAGATCCTCTTGGCGATTCTGCGATTTAACTTCCTGCAAATTCACAATTATCGAAAGCAATAATCATGAAAACCTCATATTATTTACTTGAGCAAAATACAACTTACCAATTCTAATCTCATTATTGAAATGAAATCTTTCAACACATTATAGGAGACATTGAGCATTCTCGCAAATCCTAGGATTGCGTTCGGCTTGTACGGAGCAGCTGCTGCACGTGTATCAAAGAATTTTTCTAAAATCTGCAAAGAGAAAGAAAGAGGCTAAACATTTAAGCAGGTAAATATACAAGCAGCCAAACACAGTGGGAAAATAAATTGGATAATTTTGGAATCAGACCCCACTGACGTTAAGGAGCTAAGTTAAATCAGCCACTGCCACATTCCATCAGATGATTTCTTTATTTAAGAGAGAACAGAAGTGTACATTCTTTTGAAAATAGCAGGGGATTTTTTCTGCAACATGGAGCAAATTTGAGGAGTTTTCAAACAAACCAGCTCAAACGTACTCTTGTGAAAAAAATAAATTTTTTCCTGAATGATTCTTGGAAGTTGACTTAGGTATGTAGATTACAGTTTTAAGAGCAGAGATTTTCACCACTGTCTGAAGCTACGTGACTATAACTTAAATCACAGTTACAGAGAAAATTTTTTATGGAAAGGATCCAATGGTGAAACCAAAATAGTATGAGATTGAAAATTAACTTACGAGAAGATCATCAGCGTTCCACAGCTCTGGGTGCTCTGGAGTCGGAGAAATCTTGATATGGAGAGATTGCAAATGTTGCGAATTCAGCATGACACGACACTGCAACGTCTCCACCTTGAAGTGAACAACACCTGGCTCTGTACATGGAACTGCGATAAGCTGTAAAAAATAATTACCCAAATCTTAAAAACTGAGGATTCGTTAACACAATAAATCATTTTTTCCTATTTTATATGGAAATTAGAAAAAAATCTTAGAAAAAAAATATGATTTCTTGTTTAAATGCAAAGATATAAATAGTTTAGAAGGCATCACATTTACTTACAGTTCGACTTACGTTTTCTTCAGTTTGAATGGACCGTTGCAGATGGCGACGCATGTAAACGCAGCCAAGAAATCTTTCCAACGGACATAGACTCGGTCCAGGTAGACCTTGCGGGAAAGGAGATGGAGAGCATATCACATCAAGCGCTTCATAGGTCAAGACGGAGGGCACAGAGCCCACGCCCACCCGAGTTGGAATTTGTCTGGTGACTGTAAAAACATTAAATCAAAATGAAATTACAAAATGATGAATGGCCAAATTAACTAGAAATGCTTGTATTTGTTCATTTTTTTTGCTCATGCTTCTATTAGCAATTTGAAAAATCCTGCAGCCATAAATTACTGTGAAATTCTCATTGGTAGTTGCGATAAATGCCTTTGAATTAGTTTTGAGGTAGATCAAAAGATGGCTGTCAAGGAGCATTTTAAGTCATTCCTATAAATTAATAAGTGCACTCGTCACAAGCACCATCAAGCTGATTGATTTAGAAAAGTTTCCGTGTATTGATAAATAAAATAAAAATAGATCTAGAAAATATTTTATCATATCAAAATATTTCAGACATCATATTTTATCATCATTGGATGAGATTCAAAACCATTGTTACCAGTTACTTCTTTCTGCTGAGTTAACTTGTAAAGATAGGCACAGCGAGAAAAAATGAGTGTAAAAGAATGGCTTAATACCTGCTTTTAGATGATTAAAAATCTGTATGCAACCGAAACATCGTAGCAGGAAAAATCACTGGCGTTCACAGATACCAGCTGAAAACCGTGAAAGAAAAATTCCAAGCAATCAACTCTTTAAATTAGTAAAATTAAACCAAAAAGCTGTGAAATTACCTGTGGTTTTATGATCTGGACTATGGAGAGCCGTGTGGACAGGGCGCGCGGGTGAGGAACGAGGCATGCTTGGAGACCCTGGCCAATTGGAGGCAGGAGACGCTGCTATGTTTTGGCCTGTCGAAGGGAATGGGCTTCCGTCATTGTGCCCTGAAAGCAAAAAACAATCGGAAATTAGCTAACAGGATAAATAAGAATGCTGTTCAACGATCATTGAAATCAGTATGAAAGTAATGTAAAAATAATTTGATGTTTAAATTCCACCTGAGACACAAGCAGTGTTCGAAACTCACCTTTGAGTTTTAGGAGCCAAGTGGCGCATCAAGCCCGATTTTTAGGCGCCATTGAAGATTTTTTAGGGGCCAAATTGACTTTTTTCCTATATATTACGGCGCATTTAGTGGAAAGTTAGATGCAAGATGTTCTCGTATCAAAACTAGTAAGTAGCTGTAACTTGGGGAAGACAAAAGCACAAAGGATGAGATCGTGAAGAATAGGAAAAGCTTTCACTTGTAGTGCTGAAAATTTCGAATAATCACCTGATATGAAAATTCAGATTTTTAGGGGGCAATTTTTAGGGGCCATGTTGGCGCAGAGCCTTCATTTTATGGGCGTCATGGCCGATTTTTTAGGCGCATTTGGCGCGTTGGCGCCTGTGAGTTTCGAACACTGGACACAAGGAGATGCACTATTTCAAAAAAATTACAAAAACTTTACAACTCAAGACGGCTGAAAGTAGAACTTACCAGTAGGCATGAAGGAACTAGCGGGTGATAAACCGATGGGCCCGGGTCCTGGCGAGGAGGTGGGCATGGGGGAGGGTGCTAAGGCTGAGCCAGGGGAGGCATGAGCCAACATCGAGGGTGATGGGTTGATACTCGACGGAGGCGATGCTAAACTGAAGGATGTGGCTGGACTTGCTGTGTAAGTCGGATGTTGTTGCTGAAAAAAAAAATTGGAGATTACCATCAGTAGAAATTAACTTTTCCACCTTTACTCAACAGCAGAGACATCATATTCAGAGGTGTACTTCAAAATGGACGGAGTTGAACAGAAAGGAACCAAGCCACATCGAGATCGAACCGAGAAAAAGAGGTTCAAAGTTTGGCTCCTGCATAAGACTCAATGTAAAAGATAAACTTCAAGTTCAATTTATGCAAAATTTGCTCCAACAAAAACTTTGAATTTTTGGCGATAAATAGTAGAGTAGTGGTTGAGTTCAAAACCACTCGTAACTCAATTTTTTCCGAAATGTGGGTTGGTTCCTTTCTGCTTGAATCAGTCCAAATATCTGTGCTCTCACTTCCATGCTTCAAAAGTTGGAACTCCAAGAACTTGCCATGCAGCGACTATTTATGTAGAGCTATATATGAGAACAAACACTCGGCAATGCTTGATGCTTACTTCAAAATTCACTCTACCAACCTCGTGTTGAGAAAACAAGAGGCAGTAAATGATTTCATTTTCCTTCTCATCGAAACTTTTTCCACCTACGTGAAAATCTAAGAACCATAGATATATAAGCAGTAATCATACATAAGGGATTGAAGTACAAACCTGGCTGATGCTTGTTGGGTGAGGGCTGGCAGGTGTGTGAGGGTTGCTGCCAGATGGAGGAGTCAGTGGATGCTGAAACCGTAAACCACTACTCTCCGTTGGGTCAACGCTGACTGGTGATGGTGGATTATTATCGTCTTCAGATTTTGAGTGCCTTCTCATCGCAGCACCTTCCACAATGTACTTGGATAAAAATGCCTGCAGAAAAAAGCATTACATGATGGGAAATAATGCAAAATTGGTCAATATGAGCTATAGGAATTGAAAGAAAAATGCCTGAAAACTAAGAGATTATTGATTCGTTCATTAGCTAGTGAATTGCCCTTGTAAATATTGTGTCAGAGTTTCTATCATTTTTTTCCCCTAACTCTTTTTCGCTTTTCCATGACTCCAACGTTTTCGAATTCCCTGTCTCATTTTCGATCTTTGAACGAAACTTCCACTTATATTTTATCCTTCAATTTACACTGACTTCTGCTGAGCAATGCTTGCCAAATTCCTTGACTTTTCCAGGTTGCCGTAAATTTCCTGACTTTCAAGGGTTTTCAGACTGTCAGCAGCCTTGAGTATAATCACTTGGAAACCAACCTCTTTTGAATGTTAACTAGAATTCAATTCAATATTCATGTAATGAGAGCTTTTCGTACTTTGGCATTAGACAAAAACTAAACATTAAAATTAATCAAGAGTTCTAAAATTGGAAAGGAAAAGCAGCTGAATTAACTGTTGCTGTGGTATAAATTATATTTAATCTTTCAGGTAATCCGTTGATTGATTGCAGCACCTGTCTTCAGTGATACCAGATATGCATTTCAAGATAAATTACATTTATTGAGGGAAAGGAAGTCACTAATTTTTTAACCATGCTTGCTTACTTTTAATCCAGGTGTAGGGAGAAAGTCATTGATGACGTTCGTACGATCAAATCGACTGTAAGCACCATCTCGAATCGTAAGCTCATCATCCCCTTCGAAACGTAGCTCCAGACAGTAGAAACCTAAGTAGACCACCCGCACGACTTGAGCAGAAATCGGAACTACAGTGAATGTTACTACAGGAACTTGAGGACGCTGAAACAAAGAGACAAATGTTGACCAATTACTAAAAATGAGTAGATTACCGACAGTTTGGAGACAAAATTGTTTCTTCATCTTAAAAGCAGATTTTAAAATTTGACCTAATTTGTTCACAACACTAAGCAGTTTTTTCGAAAAAACATGAAACTTGTTTCAAAACATAACAATTATATTGTACTATTTTACTTTTAGCACATTGTATTGGAGTTTTTTCCATCAGAAGCTGACTTAATGAAGATAAATTATGTTTTGATAACGAAGAAACTGAATCTTTTTTACCCTTGTGATGACTACATTGATATTTTAGTTAGATCTGATATTATGAAGCAAACAAAATCTATCTACATGCTCTCTGAAGTAATAACATACAAAGAGCTTAGGTGCAGCTACTTGGTTCTTTATGAGTCAATGTTCATACTTAGATGAATTCAATTTGCTAAATGACATTAATATAAACGCTAATATTTTTAAAATAATTTTTTGTAGTAAAAAAAATGACATTTGGTAGAGAAAACCCTGAAATATTTGATACTTACAGAATTGTGAGCGCCTAATTGAGGCATTGTAGGTAATTTGGACAGAGATAGAAGAGGTTGATATGTTTGGACTAGCATGTGAATCAACTGCGCAAGATTTCGGGTCCTGTTCAGAAATGCTTCCATCTGAGCACGAACAATGGTGTGAGGGTTTAAAGCGTTATTCGTAGTGCCTGAAAATCACAATGAGAAAATTAAATGTATAGAACAAAATTGAAATATTACAACAAAGCTTCACAACCCCAAAAAACCAGAGAATAACCAAAACAGAAACTACTTAATTGGAGGAATTTTAAGATTAAATTGTTAATCAAGGAGGGAAACAAATAGGGAAAAAGGGTTGAAAGTTTCAGTTTTTCAAAAAATCATTTCGCAAAATACTCAGAAATTCGGGGCTAGCAAAATAATTAACTTGGAATACTTACAAAGGAATACGGTGGGAGCTAAATTTCGATGTTATTTGCTATGATGTGCCTCACAGCCACTTGAGCACAATGAGCTTTAAAATCGAACTTTCTAAGTGCCAATTTCAAGAAATGTAGGGCTGAAAATAAAGTTTTTGGCATTCTCCGAATCTGGTCAAACGAAGTTGAAGCAGCCTTCATGTACAATAAATAGAGATCATAACTTTCGTCAAAGAAATAAATTTTGATACAGTCCTAAGTTACTGTTGGCTGGACCCAAAACTTCTTTGATAAAAAAATCATTAAAAGTATAAGGTAAAAAAGAAATATTCCAGTGTGTCAATATGCAACTTTTGATTACTATTGCCAATTATTCATTGTTGATCATATTAATACATTAATTTGTCGTAATTCTCATAAAAAAAGAAATCCAAGGAAATGAATACCTGCAAAGATTAGGGATTAAAAAGGTGAAATACAAAAGTACAAAACTTACCGAAAATAAGCGAAAATGCCTTGTCTTGAGTGTTCCACTGAATATTTGCAGTTAGCAATCTTTGTGGACCATAACAAAAAACTAATTTACAATAACTAAAAGATTTGATGCTGATGTATCCAGCCATATGAGCGTACTTATCTACAAAAAAGAAAAACAGAGTAGAGAATTAGAATCAGAATTAAAACGCAAAACACAGTTGGAAAAAAAATAAAATCGGAGTGAGGTTTAGAAAACAATTTCTTGTAATGAGCGCTAAAAATAGTTGGAAGAAAGAATCAGACTTGTATTAATTATGGAATGATCAAATGTTCTTTGAGGATTAACGAACTGTTTCATTTTTTTATAACACATACTAGTGCTTGTTTTCCTCAGACTTTAATTTATGAGTATTAATTAAGGCAACAAACCTGTTTTAAAATATTCTGCTAATTCTTCTACAATAGTGTACAGATGGACGATCCTTGCCCAGTCATTTAGTAAATGCTCGACAGTTTTTTCAGGGGTGCTCATTTCATACTGAAAGTAAACAGGCCGTCGCATACCTAGAGAAAAGAGAAATCAAGTAAAAAAGTTAGTAAAGACCTGATTAATTCCAGTTTTATTTCCAAGATAAAACCATAAAGGATACAAAAATAATCAAACACGAGCAATTCTATCTTCAGAAATAACAAGAAAGTGAATCGTCCGAAGGAGGGGAGAGGGGGGGGGCTGGAAATTTGGCAAAGATATGTTTGATCTGAGCCCGAGTAACAGAAATTGGGAGAGGGGTACAAACCTGAAAATGATGAAAGTCCGTAGCAAATTTAGTGTTTGTGGAAACATAATTTAAAGGATCTACTGCCCGGAGTATGTAGGTAGTAAGTATACGTGCTATCAACGTTAATTTCTATATGAAATAACCAGAGACTTTGCTCAAAGGATTGGTAGATGACAATTCCTGAATTTGTAACAGCAATGAGCTTAATTATATAGAGCAACTTTCTAAAAAAGAAAAACAATACAAACAAAAATTCGAAAAAAATTATTGGCAGTAAAAAGTTATTACCTTGTTCTTTGGAGTAAGTACTGACAACTGGACTGCCATAAAAAACAAACTCAGCCATCCAACAACGACCGGCACCTTTAGCGCAAGTCCTTAAAGACACGGATAACATCCTCTTCAGAAGAGATCGCCAGCCTACTGACGAGGAATCAATACCGGTTGGAGAAGGAAGCTGTAACAACTTCAATACTTGTGTTGTTGCGCAAGCCTCGCCTTGGACACCTTGGTGAGCGACATTCTGGTTTGTTAACTGGAAAAAAAAGAAAATGATCAGAGATGAAAATTTAATTTACCATGATGAGAGAGTAAATACAAGACTGGTGATTTAGGAAAAATAAGTGAAGATCAATAGGTTCTCTGAGCCTTTAAATTATGAAAAATATGCCTCAAACGTTTCTAAGACATGCTGTGTTTAATCGTATTGACAATAAAACTCCCAAACCACATAACTCGGTTTGAGAAACAGCAGACTTCCTTTCATGCTTTATTTTCTAACTGGAGGACTCCTTAACGTCAATTCTTAAAAATTCTCATAATTTTTCTTTTTTAAGCTGAGCAATTTCTAAAAAATTTCAAGGAATGATGTTGATTTATCCTCAGCCTGAAAAATTTTTAAGAAAAACGCAGACATTTTCAAAGAACAAAAATGAGATACAATGTTTGGGAGTTTCACCGTCGATATACTTGCAAAAAAAAATTACAGGCACAACATTAAACAATATATAAATGCTTATGAAAAGTGTTTTGTCTGACTTGCCTTGATACAAATGCGCACTTTATAGCCCACTTATAAATGAATGTTTGGTAAGGATAAATGAGATTTGTCAGTGGATTGTATAATTTGTGACTCAAACTTACCTCTTGCGCCAAGGACACAAACGGCATTCTTTCATCACAAAGAGCAACGACATGAGCCAGTTCTGGTATAAAATAAGCAGGATGTCTCGTACGCTTTGGACTTGATTCTATCTTTCCACCAGGATTTTTGCGCTTTACACCAAGTTTATCAGCTTGTTGCTCTGTAGGAAGAAAAAATTTCTCAATTCAAAAGGAGCCACATTTCAACAGAAATGTAAGTAATAACTAGTAGATTACATGATCAGTGCAGTATGTAAACGTTTTTGACAAACATAAATTATTATCAATGTAATGAATAATCATCAATTCTGATAATTTCAGTTTGATTTGAAATTTGTTTACTTTTGTGGACTAAAATTATCATAAAACAAACTTCTAAGTAGCGGGACCAATAGTTCAATTTTGAAATGCTCAGCACTCGGGTCCTATTTTGCAGGAGCTGGCTTTCAGATTTTCTAATGTCAGCATGATATATACATCAAGAGCTGAGGAACAATACCGCTTAACTGAAAATTTTGACGAGAATAAGTTAGCGACTTTGCCGCATTTGTAAGTATGAAATACACGAGTTAATGTTTTTGATTTATCCAATTCCACGAGAGAGCCCCGTAATGTAAAAAGCAAAATTGCAGATCTGACCTCAAAATTACAAAAATGGCAAACTTTTTTATTCGTCCTGCAAAATCGTCAGTTTACAGACAGGTTGTGTTGTTCCTTAGCCATCAACATGAGTTTAAATATGTAGTAAGTTGCCAAGTTAACCCAAGTAAGCTCATTCTTTATGTTTCTAAAATGTAATAGATTTCCAGCATTTGTTGGACATTCTAGAGGTATAATTCATTAAGAAACAGGGGAAAGAATGCCTGGAAGATGCATCAATGAATAGAAAAATGAGAGAGATACTTACCATCTACAGAAGTGAAAGGTCCATGGGTGGCCAGGAAATTATCCAGCTGGATCAATGTTTGGAGTTTAAGGTACAATTTTGGGATTTCCGTTTCTATTGATTCATCTTGAGCGTCTTCATCCACAGCTGAGTGTTTCATGAGGGCTAAGTAGAATTTACAATCAACTTCGCAAGCACACGATTCTTTTTCTTTCAACTCGACGATCAAAATAACGTTCGGATGTTTGTGGAAAGTGATGAACATACGATGCCTACTGATCCTTGTCATCGGGTGGTCGAGATGGAACAAAAGCGGTAATTTTTCATGAACTGTCACCGGTAAATGTTGTAGCGTTTTTTCGCACCTCCGTTGGGTCATCCAATACCTGAGCTCCGAAACCAAGGAGGGTATCCTCGTGTGATCTGAATTTAGAGCGTTTTGTAGGTCCGGGATGACTGGAGGCTTGTGTTGAGGTACATGACAATGCAACACACCAGTGTGCGTGTCGACTGTGATCAGTAGCTGTTCAGCACGTAAACAAGGAGTGAGAACGCTTACAGCTAGGATGGCTGGTGAACCTTGCAGTACGCCTAAAATAAATTAAGAAAAAAAAACAAGATTAACTCAAACATTATTTAGTATAAAGCGAATGCGAAGCTTTAAGAGAGAATCTCTCTTCGTTTGTGAGATTATTCAAGAAATAAAAAAAAGTATTACAGAAAATTTTTGAAATGGAAAGAGAAGGAGTATTTAAGGTAATTTACAGAGGATACTTCAGCGAATTAGCTCTTCTCGGCAAAAAATTAAAGAGGAGATTGCTTCAGCAGTTTTAAATAAATCAGTGATCATAGGAGAGCAATGCTGAAATGTCCCAAAGTATACATTTTGCTGGCAGTCCTTCAAAAAAATCTGTTCAAACTTGATTGTTGAACAAAGTTTATTGGTGAACATTTCCACACAAAATTATTTGACAATATACATTCTTTAAAGGTCAAAGAAAAATGAGTGAAAATTGAATCAATAACGAATATCAGTTGTCTTTCAAGGAGTAAAATGCAACCGATAATCTGCATGGTTGCAAATCGAGATAAATAATTTTGCGGGTTTATCATTCAAAAGCAAGATAAGGTAAATTTGCTTCTACAAGAAATACATGCCTCGGCTTCTGAGCTGAAGGTTTCAAATTAGAGATTAAACTTAGAGATTGAGGTAAAAGAATAAAAGCGAAGTACTTACATTCCACATCTTTCAGAATAGTTTGAAGCTCTGTCTTTAGATCAATAAGTCTACTTTTTGTTCTGACATAAATTGTGTGAACCAATAGCCGCTCCATCGACAGTAATTCTGAGCGAATAGCTTTATCTGTGATCTCACTTTCCTGCACAAAAAAGGGTGAAATGATAAAGTGTTTAACAAAATAATTGTAACTTCATACCCACAATTTAACCTTTGAATTATAACACAACAAAATGAAACTTGATTTTCTGAGGCCGAAGAAACTACTTTTGGAACTTAACCTTAATACCATTCACTGTCTAAGGAGAAGTTGCTATTCTTTTTTACGGAAATGCAATTTTTTTTCTCCTACGATTTAATAGAAATTTAAATAAACAAGCATCTGGGTTGTTACAATTTGACAAATTAAAGACAGCCAAACATTCAAGAAAATGAGAAAAACTTTTGAAAAGAGTATTCAATACAAACAGACGTACTTTGCTACTAAGGTTTGGTACATGTTGAACGGAGAGTGGTCTGGCTGGATCGTGCACATCGACTAATACTGTCAGTTTGTAACCGAGCTCTGATCTAGGATCTTCTGCAGTCAACCTCCTCCAGTATGAAACAGCCAGACATTTGCCAGGGAAGTATTCATCTACACTAATTAATCCTTCTAAACGGTCACGAATTAGCCGCAGAGTTTGAGAATACAGAACCTGAAAAAAGGGACAACAGAGGGGTTAAGACATCGTACAGTATAACAAAGTAGCAACTAACAAAAATAAAACCTCTTCTATTTTAAACAGAGTTGCACTATGGACTGTGTATTCTCTCATTCCCTTTGGAAAGAATGTTGATTCTAGTCGTTATCATATAAGAAGATCCAATACGAAGTTCAGAACATGCTTCCTCTCTCTCACTGCTTCACAACACAAATTTCAGGAGTAAATTCGGTTATTATAGAATGCATTCAGAAAATGAAAGAAAGAGGTGCGAAAAGCACCGGATCTCATGGTCAGCAGCAAACATGACAAATTTTGGGCCATAAGTTAATTTTCAAGACTACATTTTTTCACCTCTTTCGATGTGTTGAAAAAGAATCACAAAAATGACATTTTATTGAAGCAAACTCAAAGTTTTGCCTTGAAGCGAAACCGCCAGATCATATGAAGCACTCAGCGTTTTTGAGCATTTGTACTACTGGTCAAATATAGTGCAAAGCACTTTTTTATCACGAGAAACAAATTTTCTTGAATTGCGGTAATGAAAAGCATTTGCTACAAACAGAGCTACGTTTTTTACAGTAGTCTAATAACAGAAAAATTTTTGAGACTGCATTGTTATTTGAACAACTTGACTGAGAGAAACATTAGACCTCAGTTTCCCTCACAAAGAAACATAGAGAGGACACTTAAAAATTTACCTCCAGCTGCAGCGACTGACAGAAAAAGTGTAGACAGTGATAAACCTCCGCCAGAGGATTAGGATGATCTACCAATCTAGCCTGAAGTAGCTGGTGAATGTATTGCACTTGTAGAGGGTGAACTAAGGATTTACCATCTGAAAAAACAAATTGGCACTGAAGTTGCTACAAAACTAGAACATTTTAGACAGAGTTCCATCCTTTTAATCTGGTCAAGGAGGATCACAGATTATGATGGGTCAGGATAAGATCAGTGTCCTTATCATATTCACTTTTCAATTAAAGAACACAGTCACTTCAATTTTTTCAACTGGAATTGGTCCTCTTCACGGTATACTATAGACAAATAAACCACGATCAGAGTCGAATAGTGAAACCTTTCAAAACGACAAGATTGCGGAAAAATTACCCAGTGTTTGAGAAATGCTCAAAATGCTGGGGCTGTTTCTAAAAAAAACCTTGCATTGATATTTTATTTAAAGGAGTCCTGAAAACTTATACGAGACTCAGAATAACCAACAGATTCTTGACTTAGATGGGACTAACGCCAAGATGTGCGGCAATTGATTTCATGATTGGCTGAATTATTTGAATTCTCTCACCTCCAGTTTCTTTATCTTGAACAAGGATGATAATGTCTAAGAGACGCCAGGGTATATTTGGTCCGTCGCCCATGATTGTCAAAGAAACTTCAAATTCATTTTGAACGTGGAATGTAACCCGACCAAATTCAATCTGAAATGGAACAAGACACAGAAAATATTAATAAAAACCTAATGAATTTATCTGAAATTACTGTAATTCGCTATGAGCACTAGCTTCCTAATTTTTACATAGCTGACTTTATCAACACCCGTAAGAATTTCACTTGTGCTGTTAGATATTGAATGCTACGGTCAAAAAACCAATTTACAACTAGGAAAAGTGCGACTTTCGCCCTACCATACAAGTTTGAAGCATCCCATGCTCCCACTATGGAAACAAGCTGAAATATACATTTATACATATGAGAATCACAAAGCACTTCTAAAACCCTTCGAGTAAAAAGCCATTAAGAGAAACTATTTTGGTAGCTTCAAAGATTATAAAGAGAACCCATACAGGATTCCTAGATCATCAACCAATGAGAACTTATTTACATAAAAGACATGAAAATATGAGACACTCTTTCCCAGTAAACTTACTTTTAAATTCCTCATCTGCGGTAGCAGATTGCTAGTCACTAGTCTATGCTGAATAACTTGATTCAAACGCAACAATGTGGAGCGCTTTTCTACGGCTGTGATTGGCTCTGCCGGTACGATCTTATCCTGAAAAGAAAGCAAATTACTATGAAGACCGATTTTACTTGTTGAATGATGAAATAATATTTGGTTTGTTAAAAAAGTTACTAATGCAAAACTTATGGAGGAGGGAACAATGAATAAAAACAAGAGTTCAATAAACAACCAATTTGAGATTTTTTCGGGGAACTCGGACTCATTTACTCTAAAATTAGCTCCTTAATCTTCCAGCTTCTTCTTTTTTCAATTAAGAACACGACAAGTAAATTCACAACTGAGATGTAATTGACAACTGAGATTATTTGATACTGACTCAGTAGTCCTTACGCTCAATCAGGAGCACTACCCAGAGCTGCTACAGGCTTGGAAAAATCCTTTATATTTCCCCCTTTCCTTGAAAAATTTTGGTAAAATTTCCTGTAATTTAACCAATATGCTAGATGGTTAAAAACTGCAATTGCTAAATTCAAACATGGAACTTGTTTGAAACATCAAACATATTCTAGACAGCAACTGAAGGTGGTACAAGGACTTCTTCCTGACAGTTTTGTCAACTTTCCGAACGTTTTCCTTTTTTCCCTGACTTCTTCACAATGATTATGAATTTAGATATCACAAATTTTATCATCAGTTGCCTTTTGAACGGAAAATCTCTTCCAATGCTAACTTTCTGAAAACTGGAAAATGAAGGCATGAATGATTGAATGATTCTCAACTTTCTCAACCGGGCAAAAGGTGCAGGATAAGGATGATAAAATTCACTGGATAAAAAATCAATAAAAATAATTACAGAAGAAATTTTTAGAAATGAGTATCTTAAAACTTACTCTTATGCATGCCGGGAGCCTTGAGTAAGTTCCGGTAGTCAATACTTCAATTGCTGCAGGAATGTGGAAATTAGGCAAACGGGCATGGACAACAGTTTCTCGAGCAACACGAGCTAGCATGTCCGCTGTCTCCACAAACAGCAAGGACTGTTTGTCTAGATACCCCATTATTTGCTGATGGGGAAAAAAACAGAATTGTACAATGATATTTGATACCTTCACAAAGAGAGTAACTCAAGGTATAAAGTTAGGCATTCATTCATGCAAAATAATGTTGAACTTCAAATTTGGAGTCTGGCTAGAAGTAAGGATAATTTTCTCATTACTTATACGGTGGAGAGCTAGAGGTTTGAATTGCTTTTATAAATTGGGAACTTCTAGAACTATTAACATAGTTTTTGTTTAGAAAGTTTCTGGTTCCTAAATTCCATAGAGTACATAGAGTCGTAATGTAAGTGGGAGAGCTGGCGCCACTTTAAAGCGATTTCCAGGACCCAAATTCTGTGACTCCTGTGCAACGCAGAGTCACTTTTTCAATACATGATCTGTTGTTTTTGATACACAGGTACCTGGCCATCCGATGTAAACAAAGAAGATAGAAATTACCACGTATTCCAAACCGCCATTTTGGATCGAACATGTATCCAAAAAGTGACCGAAGCTCGGCGCACACCAGGCTCAGAACTCGTCGAGCAGAACATGGCGCCAGCTTTCCCATTTACGTTACGACTCTATGTACTCTTTGCTAAGTTCTTAGGAGTAAACACTACAAGACTAATGTAGCCTAATTTTTCTGATCCTTTTTTTTATTATTTGTACAGAGTCAATGATTGAAAACTTGTGAGAAAGAAAAGTCAATTTTTAATTAAAATCATGGGAAGCATCCAGAGAAAAAATGAGAGGAAGTTACTCACTGCTGATTTATCAACTTTAGATGCACTGTTAGCCCACTTGACAAGGGCAAGAAGTCTGACAAACAGCTGCCTGGTTCTTGCTGAGAAATTGAATATTTCAATTTTCCGCTCCATATCCGTTTTACGAGGCAACCTGAACAACGAATTACGCATACTTATTAATAACTTGACAAAAAAATAAATGTATATAAAAATAAGCAGTAGAAGCTATTTGTAAATTCAACTATTATATAATCAATGGTGACAACTTATATCATCAACTATGACCAATAGATGACTGCTTTGAGACTGAGTTAAACTCCTGGTAGAGTAAGGAATCTTCCATACTTATAGTAACATTTTAAAAGTTAGGAAATTATGTATAAGACAGTGATAGTTACTTTCACCTTATGCATTCATGAGATTTTATTGGATCATAACATTTGACAAAATTTGATTCAATCACACTTATTCGCAATTCGATAGTGAAACTCCCAAACGACGTATCTGGTTTGTAACTTTGCAGACACTCTGGCATACTTTATGCTTGTACTTTAAAACTACAACAGCAACTTTTGAAAATTTCAATGATTTTTTTCTTCTATGTGAAGAATATTCTGTGAAAATTTCAAGCAATCATATTGAGTTGTTCTCCCTACAAAAAATAAATAGGGAGCGAAGATTTTTAGACACCGCAAATAAGATGTAATTTGGGAGTTTCACCGTCCAACGGGGAGTACCTAGAAGTCATTGGAAAAAAATGAACGCCTCTTATTCTGAAAATTTAGGAGGAAATAATAGTTTCTTTCTAAAACTAAGAGGTAAGTACAGGCTAGTAGCGGTAGAGTTAATAGCAAACATGCTTACAGTTCGGCCAGAACGGTGAGTTCATGGTAAGTCCGTTGAATTATAAACTCGATGAGGACTGTCAAGGAGATAGAGTTACCCCGGTTTCCTTCCTGGGGAAGACTATTTCCCACAGGAGTCTGGACACCCTCCAAAGGGATTGGAGCCATGCTTCTGAAACAATAAAAGTAATCACATGAACTTCCATCACACAGAGAATGATATCTTACTGTAGTCTTCACCTTAACCCTTTGAGCACTACGTTCTTTCTTGGCCAGATGACACCGCACTTCATCGACAGTAGTCTAAAGTTGTAGTTCAGATCCTTCCTGATAGAAAGCATATGCTGTATGACTTCATACATGGATTATAGAATGAGTTAGAGGAGAATCTCTAGCCGGCGGTCTCAATAAGAGTTAACTCATGCGTAAGCCTCAAAGGTTTAAGTAAGGGCAGCAAAACTTGGAACATCCTACGAAAAGAATTTCCTCTTAGTAGAGGCAATCATCAATTTGATCAATCTCAAACTGCGATAAACAATGAATAATTGATACCCACTGAAAGAGCTTCTGATTATGAATCAGCAGGACCATGTTTGAAAGTAGATAGGCTAACGGTATGAAACGAAGTTGCCATGAATTCATCAAAAAAGAGGAAAATGTGGGTATTGATAAAAAATTGGAAATTGCAATATAGGTACCAATACTTGGAAGGGTGTGGTGCAAATATACTAGCAAAAACAGTGGAAAATGTCAAGCAGTCGTGACATTTTAAGGATTGTTCGTCATTGCATACAGATTAAAGAAGAAACTAAGTATGCTGTTTCAATCTATCATGCTTACAGCTCAAAATTGTTGGATTAAAATGTACATTTGTAGCTCTCAATTCAGCAAGGAAAGATGTTAAGAAAATTATGTTTCAACATTTAGTGCAAGATTTGAGAGAGGAGTTCCACTTTGGCCAAAGATGTATTTTAATTGTTTGGTATGAACAAAAAAATCATCTTCTGAAAATTTTGACTCCGTCCAATGAGGTCTCATTTCTTTAGACCGATCATGATGGAAGGGTTTTGCTCATAGTATTAAATGGACATGAACGAGTGGAGATCGGCATGGTCTTTAGGGCTAATATTTACAGTTCAACACGGTAAATTCATGGCGCAAGTAAGCTCGAAGCACCAGTAGGGGCTGTAAATATTTGACTTTACACTAAACCATGGGCAGCACACATGGTTTGAACCTATTCCAAAAGCTAAAAAACTAATAAGAGGAAAATACGCAGTGTAACACAGCTATTCCTGAGTTCTTCGGGACAGCTCAAAGCCGTCGAGATCAAGTCTCTCTGACTGGAAAGCTTGAGCTAAAGAAAGCACTTCTAGATAGATTTGACCAAATGTATTGGAGGCAGGAATTAAAGATGGAAATTGTTGCTTCAAATCGTATTAAATGCAGAAAATGATCTCATGGAGCACAAAAAATAAACAACTCCTTTCCGAAAGGTGACACCATGAGGGAATGGCTTGTACAAGTAGAAACAGAGCCAGATGTGAGTATTGAAAATGGTTGAAAACTTACAGAAATTAAGCCGAGACTATTTTAACAACATAATACATTCCACTAAATTAGTTCTAGCATATAAATTTTAGATAAAACAAGAATTTGACAGAGCCATCGTCGTAATCAAACTACTCCGCAATCGGAGAAACGACTGATGACTGATGAGTCGTCGGAGACGCTCACCTAAAACAACGTTTAGAGCAAGATGGCCAACATTTAAGCTGGAAACCGCCAAATTTGATTTTTTAAAACTCATTTAAATGATTAAAATAACGAGGTACAACATTTCCTTCATTAGTAAACCATTAAAAGAGTCATTTATTTGATTTTAAACCCAAAATTCACTTCCGATGGGTGAGGACCTTCCATTAGTCCAAAATTCGCAATGTCGAAGTGCAAATTTTCAAGGTGTCAGCTTGAGACACACCAACGAATGGCGCATTTTTTAAATTTACGGCAAAATGCACGAAACGTCACCGCGCTATTTCCACTCATGACTGTTCGCTTTTCCTTAGTAAAGGAAATAATTTGAAAAAGATTTTCATGGTTTTCATTTCAATGATACTCTCTTAAAATTAGATTCAAATACCTATGTCTAATTAAAGATTGAAAGTCTCATACTATCCCTTTTGGTTGGTCTGCATTGGTGTAGTGAGTAGAGTCCTAGTGGGTACTGACTGATTCAGGCTACCTCTGGGTGTCATTTGAGAAATGCTAAAGAGTGCTCAATACAAATTTTTGGATTGATAACTGAATATGATAATGATCTCTAAAGAACTTATTCCACTTATAAATACCTCAATGAGGATAAACAAGTTTTTGGTAACTTACCTCTGATGGATGATCAGCAAGACCTGCCATATTTTGTGATAATAACTCTGAGGACACATAAATGGAGTAAGGAACTATTACTTTAGAGGCAAGACTGTACTTTTTCACCATGGTAAAATTTTGTGGTGAATATAGGATGGGGAATCAGGTCATTTAAATCCGATAGCACATTTTTTACTTTTTTAAAGTTAACTAATTTCATGTAGAGCAAGGGACATTCATCTCTTACTAACTCTTGTAGGTAATTTTTTACTGCGAAGACAGGGGCTGTATTTTTCCTATATCTTTGTCCCATATAATGAATGGGCTAATCTCATGATAGCCTTTGAATTTCTACAGATCAAAGATTAGAGCATACGAAATAAAACCAGATAAGTTTTATACACTGAACGTATTCAAAGGCTGTGCCGATTATGTTTGCAGCTCCTAACTAACAGTCCCGACACATCCAGTTTTTTTTTTTTTTTTTTTTTTTTGAAAAAAAAAGTAAATCCCCTGAGTTGAGAATATGAATCCTCAAATTTTATAGAATTAAGAAGTTCTTAAGTCATTCTCTGTCCATGACTTGAGAGAGCGAAGGATAACTAGGTAAGAATGGGCTTTTCAACCATCATTAATTTTGAGTCGTGAGGAGACATAAGTTTCAGGTTTTCATTTTCACTATTTATCTTTCACTTAGGGCTTCATTTTTATAGGATTAATTTTCTGTTTAGAATGTATACAGTGGCTCAAAAGCCTCAAAATTCTAAGTGAATTCATTCTCAGAATAAGAATTAAAAATAAATTGGACTGCATTTTGCAATTTGGAACTATAAATTCTGGCTCTTCTGGAAAAACACTTATGTGCAAAGGGAAACTGATGGCACATACGTCGTCTTTAAACCGGGCAAGAATTTATAGTTCCAAATTGCAAAATGTAATCCAATTGAAACCCTGCCTCAGCAAATATCAAGAATCTTTAATGGCAAATTTTGGTGAATCCGCTCATGATGTCTTTAGTTGAATATGTTAACCATTGTCAATTTGAGGTTAAATATTTTGCAGGGAATTTTGAATTTTCTGAAATGAAAGCATTGACCTGGTTCCTTTAACCATTGCTAAAAAAATGGGGGTATATTAGGTATATTTCAAGGGAAATCATAAGATGTTTTGTTTCAGTCAATTTTTAGTAATGATTTAATAACTTAATGTCATATTAACTTAATAAATCTGCACTTGCAGAAAAAAATTATTTCAGGCTCCTTCTGAATCATCAGGTCTACCTTACTGAATACCTACTTAGAGAGTTACGGAGGGATTCTAGTTTTAGAACCACTTCACTGAAGAGGAACTTCTCTGCAAAACTAAGTGCCACACTTCCACTTGCCACAATAGCAAAAACACTTCCTTGGGATCCGATTTAAATTAGAATACTTAAATGACAAGAAAACAAAAAAATGAGAATTTTATCATGAATTCATACTCATATATATTTTCCGTAAATGCACATAAAATATAACAGCAAAATTTCAGTTAATAAACATATGATATCTAGCATCAACAGTGTAATAAAATAGTCATCTCTTCGTAAAAATCAATTCCCGATAACTGAAAAACAAAATTTTTTAGCGATTTAAGATAAATTGTGACTAGATGAGAAAGCAGTTTGACTCTAGGTATCCTATTCTTTCATGACTATAGAACGGAAAAAGAAGAAGAAAAAGCAGGAAACTTATCAATCTAAGGTTCTGATGAATCAGATAACAAAAATAAAGACATGGCACTGAACAGGCACATATAAAAAGAGAGGAATATTTACAAGAAGATAAAAAGAAAGTAGCTGTCTCAGGTCAACTTATGCTCTTGCTATTTGCCTCCTATTTTGAAAAAATCTTGAGACATATGATCTAAATTTATCATAAATATATGGTAAGCGCAAGATGAATTTGAGTTTTAGTCAAGATTAAATAGTCTTCTTCAAAGGAGGGGGACTTCAAACGATTAAATGACAGGAGAGTATAAAATTCTGAGTATAAAATGGAAAAAAAAATTATCCTCGAGATAGAATGCTTACAAAATGAGAAGTAAGAATGCTGATAATTAGTTGATCTACAGCAAGTTCCCTGGTGTTTAAATATTCAAGAATTATAGATTGGAGAGAGTAGCTAGAAATAATAAAAGACAAACTCATATTAAGAAGAAAAACTGGAGTAATTTAGGTACATTCCAGAGGAGATAAATGACTTTTAATTGTATTGTTAGTTTCATTTCTTTATATACTTCTTATGAGCAAATTTTGCTGCTTCCACAAAAGGAACTTATGTATCAATACGACACAACTGAGAGGCTGATTCAACTTTCTTTCCGCAAAAGGAAAGACAAAAAGAATTGCAAAGAGCCCTTAGATTAGTTGGAAAAAAAGCACATCAATCTGATAGATTGGATCAAGAAAAACAATGTAAAATAAAAGAATGAGGCATTTCGTTAAAGGGAGAAAATTCATTGATTAAATTTGAAAATTAATGACAAATTTCTACGCATCCACAATAAAAGAATGATCAACAATCTGGAAAAAATCATTTAAAAACAAATTTTTCTTTAAAGTAACAAGTTGGACCCTCTTAAAGTTCAAATTTGAAAATACTCACTTCCTTTAAACCATTTTGCTATGCAAAGTTTTTTAGTAGGGATACCCTCTATTTCATCAAAAATCGTTTAAAAAAACAAAACAGCAAAATCTTCACTCATCAACTTTAAAAGTTTCTTCAATTCGCAAAGCTCGAAACATCCGTAAAAAAATAAAATTATTTTCTAGCACATAACACCTAAATCTAGCGAGATAAAACAACAAAGTAAATTACATTACACTTCGATCACTCTTTCTTTTTGGGTAAAATTTTTCATTTTGGGGAAGAAGATAATGTGTTTTTAAAAAACAAGTTTACACAATGATGTACAAACCAGTACAGAACGGGAGGCAAAGAAGTTATGACGTTAAATTTTCCCTGTAAATAAAATGCCTAATTCAACTTATTTACACATTTATTTACAAAAATCAACATAATGGAGGAGTTCGTCATTGAAACTAAATTAATATGCGGGGAGAATTTTTGATTTCAGAAAATAAACTCTGGTACGTTATGCTCGATTGACAAGGATGCACAGCTTACACTTGACATGTATCTTTGATCCTTGTGCAAAGCTCTTGCAAATTAGATTGGGCTGTCTTAAGTATGTTCCAAGAAAGAACCTCCTCATGGATTGAGATTGACACTCAACTAGGAGTTAAAATATTAGATACTTAAAGAGCGTAAAAGTTAATAGAACCACGCAAATCTTCAGAATGTCATTTTCATATCATTCTGACAAAGAGAGAGATTTCTTATAGGTACACCTCTCAAGGAAAATTTTTTACTGCTCTTAATATCATTGGAATGTGATATCCAAGGGCACTTGACACTTTACTGTCTAGAGAGAGAGAAAAAAAGAAAACCTACATACTATTGCATGTGTGATGATTTGCTACTTACAAAATTATCCTTACAACTGAGAGATCTTTGCTGATTTTAGGAACTACAAATAAATTTACAGTCATAGAAAAATAAGCTTTGTGGGACCATTAGCCAAGAGATTGTGATGCCCCTAAATTCCTTGCAGCACAATATTAAAGCTAATCGTAGTTTCTAAAGCCTGGGTTGCACCATCAAACTAAGCTCATCAGTTCAACCAACTCCATTCAATTAACGCAGGTCGCTTCAATTTGACTAGGCATCATGTTCACATTGGTTGGGAAGAGCCTGGGCTTTAAACCCAGGCTTTTAGTGCCTACAGTCAGAACCAATTAAAGCCCTGGAAATCTGACCTTGGTAGACTGATAGGCTCAGTTTGATTGTGTGACCTGAGCTTAAGTTAACTTCAACTTTTGCAATTTATTTTAAATTTTTTTCAGAGAGAGGAATAATAAAGGAGTGTTGAGAAACAAATTTGACTAAAGAGCCAGATACAGAGAGACAAATAAAATTACAGCAAGGGGTAAGCCTGAAAAATTAATGCACTTGAATAAAAATCAATGATTCGACATGTATGCAAATAAGTGAGTAAAAAAACATTGGATGCTTAACTTGCTTGCTTTTCCACAGACTTCTCAAAAACAAATTCTTTCAAGCAGAAAATTTAGAAAACCAGCAAATACCTGTGGCAATGATGGGTCATCACAACTACGGAAGAAATGTATGCTTTAATAACAGGTGTCCGTTTAGCGTATAAAAACACTACGTTTCATATTTACATCAAAATTTGATGTTGGCTCCATTTAATAAACAAGGAAATCAAAAACGGAATCATGGTTTTCAAAACTACCTTAACCTAGATCAAAAAAGTCACTGACAAAAAGAAAACAATTTTTTTTGGCAAATTGACTCGACGTTAAGAAACCTCATTGATTTGGCGGGCACATTTGTCAAATACAACCAATAGTTTCACAAAATTTTAATTATAACTGAATTGAGCTACTGAAAAGACCGTTTCAGTAATTTTTTTAAGGAGAAAATTTTAGTGAGTTTTTCTATTGATCTCAAATTCCACTAACTGGGTCATCAAATTACTCCAATTGATTCATCGCGTTTCAGCCTTTAAATTAACTCTTTATTGATACGCTGGCAATCTTACTTCAATGCTTAGAGTTGGACATTTCAAATTAATTGAGGTTTTGATCTGATCAACTTAAGCTTAATTAAAATTGGCACAATGTAAGCAAGACTTGGTTGCATTTTTATTCAAATCTTGTATAGGGGAATTCCATGGTACTCACAACAGTAAAATAGAGCCTTTGTTGTTACTCAACATTGAATTTTAAAGCTAAATTCTTCATAATTAACCATTCAGATTTCTTGATAGATTATATCTAATACTAGACGACAAAGAAGAGAATTTCTATTTTTTTCAAATTTAAAAGGAGTTTTCATATATTGCATCTGCTCCCATAGAAAATCAACAAAAAAATAAAATACACAGAATAATTTTAAATGCTCAGCCCGCAAACACTGAGAGTCAAAGCACTAATAGTACAATTCCACCAATGGCAGGAAATATTCTAGAATTTAAGAAAATTCTTCAAAAGTGTCTACGCTTCATCTGGTTGCGTAACTTTTTAAAATTCTCACTCAAAGGGAGATGAACGAGAAAAAAAATTCCTTATCACAGGAATTCTGGCAAAAAACTCATTGAGAGACATAGTGTTATCACATAATAGAATATGTTGAATTTTAATCGAGCTCAGATGAAGAGGTTCAGACAGATTGTTGGTGATTTCACCGACAGCGTTTAAATTCAGTCTAAACTGATGCCTCATAATAGAGAGAAAAGGTTTATTACAGCCCAAATTTTCTTTCAAGAGAGTTATGCTGTTTGGTGCAACACTACTTACGACAAATCAGGAAGGCGACTGCAGATGCGTTTTTTAGACACAAAACTCTCTTGAGAGAAAATTTAACATTGTAGGAGAATTTTTATCATTTAAAACAATAATGAATAGATCAAGTATCTTGATAAATATTATAATTTGTTAACATTTACAAGATCCACTTATAGAATCTCAATCTTTTTCTTTCTATAATGAGACATCAGTTAAGACCGAATGTACACGCACCTTTAGGGAAATCACCAAAACGATGTCTCAACAACTCAATCGTGAACTTTGCTTTCTTTTCACCATTCATTTTAATGCATACTGCCAACGTCAACAGACTCTACAGAATGGACACAAAGAAAAAACAGTACGCAAGTGATCCGTCTATCCTAATCGTCCCGGCAAAGAGCTAAAATTTTTTTAACAAAACAAGCAACGCACAATTGCAAAAGATGCAGTAAAAAGCATAAAAAATGGAATGATTCTACTAATTGCTTAAAAAATATTACTGTCCTATCAGATCTTTAAATTTCCTAAAAAAAAGTATACTAAATAAGAGTTTCACTCTTTTTTTCTAGATGTGATTTCAACTGCACTGCCCCGCGTAATATATTTTCATGTTCCTAATAAAATACTGAAAGACAGCACCTCAAGCTTACTTCTTTTATTAACAATAGTTGGACTTACTATTAACCTAATAAAATACTTGTAACATATCATCCCAGTTTTTTCCAAAATTTAAAATCCTTTCGACACATTTAACTCTGAGACCTCACACATATTATTCCTCCTGCAACATAAAAGCACTTTCCTCTTGTGTTTACGAAAACATGCATTGGAAACCGCAGCAATGCAATACATCAAGTGCACTTCTACCAAATATTACAACACTAGATCATTAGTAGACCCTTAAATTGAGTTAATTTTGAATAACTATACACCAGAAAATATATGCAAGGATTTGACTATATGCGGTCGATAAATCCCAACATGGAGCATCAGTTTTGTTCAAATATGATCAGCAGTTCGGGTAGCAGAGAGCAAGTTGACGCAACAATTTTGAGGCCTTGCTATTACAATACTTCATGAAAGCTCCTTGATCCATTTAATATTTATGATAAAAGATGAGCTGTGATGAGCCTTCATGGTCATTTATGAAGTGAAACACTGGTAAGGACCATAGAAAAAAATCTGGGACACCTTGGGCTCAAGCACTAATTGTTCACAAGTGAAATCGTACAAAGTTCAGCTTAAGGAGGATTTCCATTTTGTGTAGTGCTTGTATACATTCTCTATGCTGCACATATTCTGTAAGTAGCTCCAGTTCGAGTTTCAGTTGGACGAGGCTGGTTTTTCAGGATCTATGCTGACGGATCGGCGGGTGGATTTCGACCTGATCTGTCCAGCTAAAAGAGGATTGATAGCGTACAACCATTCGTGGACTTCTTTGTCACTCAGTGTCTGCATCAGATAACCTCTTTGTTTTGCAAGAACACTGAAAAATAAAAATCATCGATTATATAAAATATTTGGGTGTGTATTATTTCAACGGACAAGAAAACCGTAAAATTAAAAAAATTTGGCTTGCACAAATAAGCAAGTAATGAACTGCAAGACTTTGAACCAAATACGAGTAAAAGAGACAATAACAAGAAAATTATTTTGTTCATATTCATTGGCTTCTATAAGAAGATGAGGCATTAGGAGACGCTGCATTTCTATGACACCTTGAAAATGTTACTTTAACCTAGAAAAATAGACAACAGGATCCAAAAAAGTTCTAAGTTTTTGAAAATGTTTGCATGGATAGAGGTTTTTTCATTTTTTAATTATTTTCCCCATGCAATATTTTTTAATAACTATTCGAAGACGAAATGAATCATTAACAGTGAAATGACCATTGAACTGGTGCTAAAAGCTTGTGCGTCTTGTTCTCCCGTGATTTACTTTTCCTCATTCGGATGAATATAATGAAAGTAGATAAAAAGGATCTATTACCTGAAAGTATTAGGTACTTTGACTGATGTTTGCTGATCTTCTGAATATTCTACTTGAGCAGTGGCTAGGTTGATTAGGGCTCTTTCAACAGGGTCTCGTTCGTCTCGGAAAATGAAAACATACGGTCTGCGGACGGTCTGAAATTAAACATTAGTTTCATTGACTGTGTGTTGAGTAAAAAATTCAGCAAATGATAATGAATGGGCTACAAGGCAAGGCACAAACTGAAGTACTAACTGTGTCTCCTCTTTAAAATTTTACAAAAAGAGCAATTAATGCAACAGGAAGTTCAAACATCAACTTCTGAGGAGATATAAACATGTACATTACACTGATCAAATGGAAAACGAACAATACAAATACAACACCTTAACATTTCTGCTTCAATCCCAACCCTCCAGCCTCTCATTGGGCGCCCTCTGCGCCTTCTCTCAGGACAAACATAATTTCGAGTAAAAACTTCTCTAACGATGAAGGTGCGAAAACTGGGTGCGAAGATGATCTTCTAGAAAACGTACTTACCACCCATCGTTTTTTCCATCCATTAGTTCTATGCTCTAAAATATTTAGGTAGCCCTTTCGAGCAATTATTGGAGTAATTCGTATTTCTTCCAATTCTGGTACATATAAAACTAGAGGAGGCTGCGACTGGTGCTGCTCACATGGAGAACTAATTTCACAAGGTTTACAGAGACTGTTCAGCATAGCTTGTTCAGGAGATCTAAGTCTGTAAAAGAAAAAATTATCATCTTAGAACAGAGACTCGGTGAAAAAATATACAATACAAAATAATTTGAGAGATTTATTTAGAGTGTGAATTCAAATTACTTCCTTGATATTTTGTTAAGATTATGCGATATTTTAAAGTTTTTCTGACTTGAAAATTTAAAAGAAGAACATAGAGAGAGAGAATATGTTATTTTAAAATAAAATTACAAAAAAAAGTTTCTACTTTCCAGCCTTTTTAAGTTGTCCTGATTCAAGATCCTATGATCATGCTGTTAAAAGTTTCTGCTTAAAATCTGAGAAAAAGTAATTTTTACACTATACTCCCAGATTATTTGAACTAATGTGGTGGTCGGCCACTTCAAATAATGAAAATTTTGTCTGATAGAAGGTTCAGTTAATGAAAATTTTGGAGAAAGTAGTTAATATTGAAAAGCTTAATTTGGCACATATGTGTAAAACGTCATGAATTACATAAACACAAATTTGAAACAAAATGCTGTATCAAATAATTACGAATAAAGTATACAACAAAGTACAATTAAACGGATTACACGCCTATTTCAAAAAATCTCTCATACTAAAAAGGGGTAAAAAAGAGGAAGAAAAAACCAATCCTCCCAAAAATTAGTTCCAATAATCCCAATTGAGATAGTTTGAGATATAGTGTGTTTATGGTTGGTTAATGCATGCTATATTTATTACATGACATGTTTTACACTTTAAAAGAGACGATTTTAACAGGTAGGGAAATAGTTACTTACTCTTGGAAAGGGCCAGACATTGAATTGGGAATATGAGCTGTACTTATATTCATTAGTTCATCTCGTCTGGAAATATCTAAGTCTACAGGTTTGTGGATATCCTGAAAATAAATTTATAAAATGAGTCAAAAGAAAAACCAGAAGAGCCGAAAAGAGGAAGTCTGTAGAATAATTAATATACTCAAAGCAAAAATGTAAAAAGCTAAAGAAACGCATTTTGAGCCGCCTGTTTCCGGTTCTTCATCAGAGCAATGCAGTATCTCTGGAGTCGAATTTTGTTTGTCCCTAGTGTCGTAAAAGCCATTAGAAAGATGTTCAAGGATTCAAACTGATGACTATGACTTTTGAAAAACTTGTATATTGGACCAATTTAGGAGGTTGCAACGCAACTTTGGCCATGTGCCGACCGAAGCAGTTCTATCAGATATCACTCCACCAAATTTTGTTGATTCCTTCAGAATGAGTGAGGAAAAATCTCATAAAATTTCAGGGGAAATTATTAATTTTTATACCTTCAAAAAAATTAAAACATGATACGAAACTTACATTTTTGAGATACAAGATACGCATGTTTTTATTTGAGCCATCGATACATCAAACTTGTACATTTTCTTGATTTTAAAAAAACTTATCAATGATTAGCATAAATATTTTTATGGTTGTATCCATATGAATCAGTTGTTTTTAAAGAGGAATGTGGACGTTTTTATATAAATCCTCATTTGCACGTGTTCTCATACTATTCACAACAAGCACACAAATAGACCTGCACCTTAATAACGACAATTGATTCATGTGAGGAAACAATTACGGAGAGTAGAAAGAAAAAGTATAAAAATGAAACTCACTCTAGATGGAATGTGACCCTGGATAAGTTGAATACATTTAGTGGTCAGTTCTTTCTCATGTTCTGTCATCTCCCAAGGAGCGTACACATCTTTGCCGGACCTATTTTTTACAGGACTGCTGCAACTACTTGCTTTAGCCACCATATTGCAAACTTCCTGTGATGAGAAAAGAACAATTTATGGGTTAGGCACTGAAGCAATGAAAAAAACACAAAACCTTTGAACATGTACTGGTAAATATGTGAAAATTAAAGACAGCGACTAAAAGATCAAAGAAAATGAAGACTACATCTGGCAAAGGGGGGCCGTATTTTTTTTGGAGACAAGGATCCTGCTCATGAGAATGTTGGCTGAGTTCTTCAAAAGAATCAACATTTTCCCATGTACACTTGATATCTTTCTGTCATTTACATATAATTTGCCTCTTTTCCTACTCTACTGGTAGGAATGACTTCACAATGAGTAATAAACAAAAATGGTATTTTCTACAAAATATAAAATATAATTTTTTTTATATAAAATTTACGAACAAAAATTCCTATGTTTCCATAAAATTTAAGTATTGATCACCAAAATTTATTCTTTAGGAATTTATAAAAAATGAAGAATAAATAGTACGATATGCACTTCCAAAAATTGTCATCTTCAAGATATAAGCTGGCATTTGGCTTAAGCACAATAGAAAACAAAAGAGGATTCTCTTGAGACTTTTTAGATAAATAACCAATGAAACAAACCTTTTCTGATTTTGTGATCGGTGCTTTGTCCACTCCTAACCTTTCTCGCAGCAGTAACATGTGTCTTGTTCTACCTACTTCTTCTAGCCGAGTTAACTTTTCTAATTCCCACTGGTGGTCGAAGATTAAGCTGTCACCGCGGGGCCTCCAACCATCAAGGTTTTCTTCTCCACGAACATAGGTAGTACTCGTGTCTAAAACTCTTCGCTGTCTCCTTTGCACTCCTGAAATTCAGACCAAAAAACCTTTCTATTTTAATACGATGTAAGGAGGGAAAAAAATCTTTAGAACCGAGAAAATTTTTTTGCTGCCTCACATTCTGAGTGGAGACCAAAGTAGGCATCTCACAGCTAAGACTTTAAAAAATGTTGATAGTTTTATTGCGGGAATTTTTAGATTTTCTCAACTTGTAATCAAAATCAATTGACATCAAAAACATGATATGATTATTAGAAGGATTTTTATTTCTATAAAATATTAAATTTAAACAAAACAATTTTAATTGGATACCCATTAGGGGGCGTAATATTTGCAGAGAGAAAAGGTTCTCCTGAATTCCCTGACAACAAGGTTCAGGAACTTAGACAAAATTGTATTTATTTTAAAGAATAAACTGGAAATGGTTTATCAGAGTGTCTACAGAATTCGGGAGAGACAAATTCCACACTTTTCTGTGTTTTTTCATCAAAAATTACAGAAATTTCCAGAATTTTTTGACCTGTGGACATGCACCAATTCTATTAATTTTAGCTGGATGAATGAATCCGCTACAAACACACTCAATACCTTTTTATCACAATTCGAAAGCAAGCTCTAATAATAAACTAAAATCGCTAATTAAAATCAATTAATCCTCATGCAGGCCTATATTGACAATAAACATGAGTAAAGATATTAGCACTTCAGAAATCAATAACTGCGCTAGCAGCATTGTCTGTTTAAGAAAAAAATGTAAAAAAACTCATAAATTTCAAAAGGAAAACTCTAAAAAAATGACTATCGAAATATCCAAGTTGGGAAACCATTTTTGTTCTTTTTACCAAAATATGCCACCTCACACTTTCAAAAATTCTTTCTTCCTATTTCGGTGAAAGTCAACAAAAATGTTACAAAAGTTTCACATAAATATACAAGTAATTTTTAGATTTTGCAAAATTTTGATGCCAATTGTTCTTCATAACTTTTTTTTTAATCATAAATTTCACATAAATGTGTCTTCAAGGAGAACAAAAATGGTTTCCTGACTCTTACAGTTTAAAAATTGTTTTCCTTTTTTTAAAGTCCAAATATAACAGCCAATGCTACTAGGAGAGATAAACACCAAAAATCACTACCAAAAAAGTTAACAGTAAAATCAACGGAACCGTAAGTAAGTGTGATAGAACATTGTGAGCTAACAAAATCACTACAACTAGAAAGCTGCACTAGGGATAATTAAGACTTGTAAGAATGATGATTAGAGTTATTGGAGTAGATAGTTTGGAACAGATTTTCTGATGGGAATTCTAAAGTCGAGAAGAAAAAAAAGCACAGAGAGAAAGAAAGTAGGGGAATAATATACAGAGTTCTTTCTCCCTTGCCTTTTCTTCCCTTCTATAAATTTGAGAAAGCAGATTTGAATGTTTCTCAGCCTTCTCAAAATTAATTTTCATGGTATTTTAGTGCTGTTACACTTTTGATTTCCATACTCATGAAGAACTGAGAGATGGAAAGTAACAAGAGAGCTGTTTTTTTATAGCATCCATTATTATATGGATTAATTATTAATTTTGCTAGTTATTATACATTATTGCTCTATTGTTTTTTAGGGCATTTCAATGCTACCGCCAATAACGGCAGAAGCTCCATAAGTCGGTGCCACTTTTAGTGACTCAAACTGTTCACAGAGGGCCTGAATTGGAAAAAACGTTAGAGGAAGAAAGAGTGAGTTGTTACCTTTGAATGAGTTTATGCGACCTTTTTTAGTGGGTTGCAGAGTCTTTGCCCTCCCTCCTCCCTTAAATAAAGCTGAATTTCAATCCCTCCTAAATGCCAGCAACATTAGCGTCACTAGCCTTTTAGGCACACTCACTCTAGATGTTATTTTCATTTTCACTGGACCATCTTGTTGCCAATCAAAATCATCAGATCAGTTACAATGCAAATAGTAAAACCTCTCAATTAGATTGCATAGAAAGGTTTTACGGTAGGTATTCCTGGTTCTCAAAACAGAGGAAGAAATGGTTTAGAGGTATTAAAAATCTTCTTACAAGTTTGCATGCAAGAGGAGGAGAGCTGCTGCTACGATCTAAAGGAAAGTCAGGGAAACTACCTGGGCTACCTGCTTCAGAAGCTCTTTTCAGAATGAGTTCGTAAACTCCGGACAAGCGGTTTGCCTCTGGATTCCGGTAAATTCCAGTGAACAAGTGGCGCAAAGACCGTGGTGCTGTTCTGGCATCTCGTCCATAAATAACCATGCTCAAATCTTTGGTAATGATTGCAGGCCTTCCACAATTTTCCAGCTGGAAAAAGAGCAGAAATGAATTAATAATAATAAAAAAATTGAAGCGAGCAATTACGCAAACAACTACAGACTCAATGAGTGAGGAAATGCAATAAAAGCAGGAATTTTTGCACCTCTAAAAGCGAGCTGAGGAGTTTTTCAAGTTTAAGTACAGTCTGCTATCTCTGTTTCATGATATGTGAAGAATTGTCAATCCCTTGAGCTTCCTACATAAATTATAGCGCCCCTTGTTACAACGAAAATTTCTCTAGAACAAGAAATCGTTCAGTCCATAGCCATTTCTTTACAATGTTGAACAAAATTGAAGCCTGTTAATTAATCTTGCAATTATTCTTCTACTCCTAGATAAAGCATGCAACGAAGTTAATGTTTCACAGTAGTACCTCTAAGTATGCAGATATTGTCATGTAGATATTTTCACCATAAGTTGAAATACGGTTGAGTAAGGGTGACTCGTGTAACGAACTGTCCCATGCTGCTTCAAACCTAAACATAACACGGTCATCTCCGGGCACTTCAAGATACTCTCCAGGGAATAATCCAAGTGATAAAACGCAACTCTCATTGTCTTCATCTTCTGGTTCAGGTGTGTTCCGAATGCGACCTAAAAAGAAACATAACAAGTTTATGAGGAATAGTCAGGTCAATTTATTTGAGAGAAACTGTCCACCAAGTAATTTTCATTGTATATTTAAACGTGAAAATACAGCAATGGTAAAAGATACGAAACTTGCAAAAAACAGTGATACAGTAAAGGTTCTCTAGTAAGCAGGAACTTTCAGAAAAGGAAAATATATTTTTTGTTTGGTTCGAGCCTCAACTTTCTAGGTGCCAAACAAAAAATTTGCCTGCTTGAAGAAGAGTTCTGTTTGAATTACTGACTAATCCATAATTTTTCCAAAAGAAGAATTGAATATAGTTAAAATCCAAAGGTACAATAGGCAAAGCCTCAGAAAAAGTAAAGTACTTTTCTTCACATTTAAAACTAATACAGAGGTGCAAGTAATTGAATTCAACAAAGACGCAAAAGTAGAGTGAGCTTTGTGAGTGCTCTTTCACAAAATTTTGCAAGTGGTTGCTCTGTAAAGAAGTAGACCATTTTCCTCTGGGAAAATTAGAGGAAGACAAATGCTGGAATGAAAAACTTACCAACAACCAGTTCTCGGACATCTTTCCATCGTAATTCAGGAGCTTGATCATGCACAACAGTTACTCTTATCCTTCTTTGAATTCCTTGATGTAGCAGGAACAGCCCACGGCAAGGAAGTTCATCACTGTGATCAACAACAACAGGCACATATTCGCCATTGGGAGCTGAAAAAATAGAAAAATCAAGAAATGTACTTTCATGATAAAGCATCCAATATAAGGACACCAACAAATTGCACCCAAAGCAATATTTTGGACGAAAAATATTATAATTTTAACAGCTACAACTATCGAAGCGAAAAGAAAGTGTTCTGTGGCGTTAAAAACTTTCATCTTTACAGGATATAGGATATTCAAAGAAAGCTGAGAAAGATAACATGATGAACTCGTATGAAATTATGATAATGTTCACAGAATACAATGAGAAGAGGCAAAGACTTAATTACTCAATATAAGATTATTCGAAATTATCTGATCCAGTTAACTTCCTCTAAGTCTAGCGCTCTTTATGTGGAATTTTCCTTCAAGTCAGACTTTTTTGAGGTCCTGTCGAATTTTTCATGAGAGTAAAAAGCCTTCTCAGTGGAATTCCTCTCTGAGTGGAACTGACAATCTGATCCCTATGCGGTTTGACTCAGAGGAAGTTAACGGGAACATGTAAGCTCCATTCCCTTGCAAAATATTTTAAAATTTTTTAATTCACTTCAGAGATTGAGAAAAAAGTATACGAACCTAATTCACATATTTCGAACCATACTAGGACATCATATTTTGCATGAACGTGAGATGTGCAAAGGGAGGGCAAAGCACCAAATTTAGAAGACCGCACAGGCTGACTGATTGGTATTGAAGGAGGAAGCATTCGCTTAGGAGGTTGTCGAACGCTGAAAGAGAAACACTGAAGTTACAAATTGAAATAGAGAAAAAATGTAAGAGCTGAAAAGGTTGCATGTAATATGATGCCATTCACCAAGATGTTTGTAGGTCAATCTCTCCTCTGATGTTTTCAGAAACTTGACTTTCAAACAGATCTTATTATTTTCTGTTCCAGAATTATGTTAAATCTTTAACAGTTAATGATATACCATGTGCAACTGACCCCCTCTTCAGCGCTGATCAACATCTGCAAATATTAAATGTACTCTATTCGTTTAACTATTGCAGGAAACATTTATTCATACATTGATTCAGGGAAAAAAGATATTCTTGAATACTGATCTTGAATATTTGTAGATAATTTAGCTGCTGCACTTTGCTGTACGTTAATAATGAGTTTAGATGTTTCAAATAGGGTAAGTACAAAGTTCGTCTGACAATGGAGATGAATAAGTTATGAAACATGGGTATCATTCAAAACAAAATTAACCAAAATGCACTAGGTCTCATTTCGAAATAAAAAAACAATAGTTGGGCTTACTTTTACATTTGACCAGTTGTAAATTTGCTCCTGTCAAAACTTCAGAGTTTACAAAAAATATATTGAACGTGAAAATATTCATTAAAGTTTTTCAATAACATTAAGTTTCACAGAAGAATAAAACTTCTAACATCTTTTTCTCAGTTCAAATTTGATGCAACTAGGTGCATTTTTACTACATTCGGCTCAGTTCTGAATAGAATGATAATTGATTAAATGTAGAACTTGCATCATAAAATCTTGATACTTTTTCGATAAGATACTTACTATTGTCCACTTTCTTGCTTAGCAACATTATGTAGAGGATGTGCTTGATAGTGACCGAAAACCTCAAAAACAATTGGTTGAGTTTTAATGTATTCAATGAAAGCTTTGCTCACGGTGACTGTAATCTGTAGCAAAAAAAAAAAAATATATTCTATCAAAAACTAAAATCAAACGATGATCACTTGATATGGCAAGCATTATAGAAAGAAAATTTATTTCCAATGCCTGACTGAGGAATATTAAGTCAATAAAGGCAACTTTAAATTCTGTTACAGGGACAATCTCATTTTCCTTATTTTTCCTTCCTGTTTAAAGGTTGCCAGTGAACAGAGCAGATTGTTTTGTTGACTTGTTGCGATTGATTTAAATTAGAGAAAATAGGTGATAAGCTACTGCTTTTAATAGGAGTAATCTTTGGAAAAATTGCGAAAGTTGTATGGCGAAAGTTGCATGTCATATGGCAGCATTGCCACATGATATTTTCTCACCCACTTTGGTGAAAATCTTCCTACCATACAAAAAATTGCCCAAAATATTACTTTAGAATGTCATTGAAATTGAAAGCGGCAAAGGTTTCTTTTCAGATTAGGCATACCTTGAAATTTTGCTATCAAAGAGAACAGAGATAAGAAAAAAAATTGAGATGAGTACTTACATTTTGAATGTGATAAAAGCCTAGAGGAGTTCCTTTGCCTGTATTTTTGACTGGCTCTGTGGAAAAGGCTTCATCATATCGATGAAGGAAGCTAAAAAATAAAATTTTCATTATGACAAGAGGTACAAATTTAATCTGTAAGACATACTAAGATTTCAAACTATCAGAGAGAGAACTTCAACTATTGAGAAATCAGTCTTGAGAGAATCAGAATAAAAAAAATTATAAGAGGTCTTTTTCTAAAGATCTGAATCTTGAAAGCAAAGAATCATGACTATCATATTTGAAAAAACTGAAGCATATTTGTATTTTCACAAGCATCATAGAAGCTCTAGGTATAAAAGATATGATTGAGGTGAGAATATGAATTGGATGAGTAGGAAAGGAAAGGGAATTGGAAAATTAAAGAAACCTAAACTCACAGATAAATTAAATGCCAAAGAGTTTCAGGACCCCTTGTGGTCCCGCACTTGGAATTTCAGCCTTGAAAAAGGGACAACAGAAATGCGTTGATGCTTACTTTAATTAATTTTATACGTTGGAGTTTTTCATTTTCAGATGAAATAGAATTTAAATAACTTACTTAAACTGACAGAAAATATCCGTGTACTCGGAGGGTATGTCGATAGCTTGTAGAATAGTAACGCGGAATGTAAATTCAGTTTGAGGGGTGAGATGGGCTGGTGGTTCTTCTTCAGCTGAACTGTCTCCACGCCCACTATCCGTATCACACTCGACATCTGAAAAAACACGTTGAGCTTTAAAATAGATTTACACGTTAAAAACCTGGCAATACTTTAAACTACCCTCTTTCAGTAATTTTATCAAAATAATTTGTAAATCAACATAGGAATGTTGTTGTTGTTGTTTTTTTGTTTTTTTTTATAGTGCTATGAAAACTCTAATACCTCACAAACTTCTTCTGATGGACAATTTAGGGCTAACTGCATCACCTTTCGAAAACACTTTAAACTGAAGTTTAAAGTGTTCAAGTGAAGTTTCAAGTTCAGTGAAGTTTAAGTGAACAAATTTCGATTAGAGTTGGCTGATTTCTTCTTTCTTAGATCCAAAAATACTCTTTAATTTGCTTTACTTTAATTCTTAAAAATAATGCTTAATTGAAAAATAACAGATTTAATTTCAGCTAATCTTCATTTGGAAGTAATAAGTACTGTGCAATTGCATTTAATCTCAAAATTAATAAGCAGAACCAGTTCTTAAATTGACTTTAATGTTATGAAAAAATGAAAACAACAGTCACCTGACAGAAGTATAATTGATAATTTACCTTCAATTTTATCCGTGTGTTTATCCCCCGCTTGACCTTCGACAACTCGTTCTTGCACCATGCTGCTCTTCTTTTTGTCATCGACAAGCAACCGGTTATCATCGAAATTTATTTTTGCTGACTGCCTAACACCGCTTAAATGATCTCCATTGTCATCATCTGGGCAAATAGAGAGTTTGGTATGTTAAAAAGAGATATTTGAGGTGATAAATTTGCTTTCTTCTCTTGTCTTTGGAGGTATTCCCACTAGCAACATTGGTGCCAACAGATTTTGTCCCTAATTCTTTGCCCCACACTGTATTTTCTTCAGCTATCAATTATTGGTTTTAACTTCCAGGTTCAACCAATCTTTTTTTTTAACTCTTCATCCTTCTTTTGAATGATGGGTCCTACTATTGACAAAAGTATTCCTTCAGCTTGCACTTTTCTAAAGCATACTATCGCAGAATCGTGGCAAACGCACATCATATTATCTCTTTGATTGATTTTATGATTGATTTCGAATTCATAGCTTACAGTGAGAATTGACATCGATAGTAAATAGAAATTGACGTTATCACAAAAACACAAAAAGTTTTTCCTACCACTAAAACTAGGATCATCATTAAGACAATTACCTGAGACGGATTGCACTGCTACCCGCAAATAACCTTTGACATCTCCTTTCTCATTGACGATAGCTACTTTGTGAATAAGTGGAACTGGATAAAATAAGTTGCTCAGATACACAAACGCTCTGAAACAAACAAAAATCAATTGGCATTTCATTAGGCCTAATATTATGATATTCTTTTTAGACCTCTATGAGAGAAGGGACCTTAATCCATGGAGGCAAGTTTTTCCGATAAGAAATTTTAGCGGAGTGTGGTAAAAAAAATCCTGAATGAGTTTAAAACAGAAAAAAGCTTTTTAATACCGCAAAAAATAAGTTGCTTCCAGAATAATTTGTATAACTCATTTGCATACTATTAATTTTTCTCTGCCGTGCTGTGGGATACATGAGCAAATAAGTTAACCTGCACTGTTATGGGGAAATATGTTTTAATCATATTTTGCCCACTTCCCTATAAATAGCATCATAGGTGTTGTTAGCGATTATTCGCTATGAAGATTGTACTCAATTGCCAAAGATTAAATTACGAGGGGATGCGACTCTTTAAGAGAAACTTTAGGTGAAAGCTTACCTTCCAACCATGCGGAACCAGGGAAAACGATCATAGAATGGATCGCCACCGGTAAGAGATTCAATGTTAAAATCAGGAGACGTTGGAGACATTTCTGCTTCATTGTGGTACATTTCCCTCATTAATTCCAGCCTTTGCCTGAAAAAATTTAGAATCAAGGAGGTTAAAAAGTTAATGAAAAATATTCTTGGGTAAGGGATGATGTACAATACCCACAAAAAATCCGCAGTTTGCACATATCTCAACTAAAATTTCAAGGGAATTTTTTAAAAAAAATATGAATTTTTCAAAATGAAAAAATAGTTATGAAATGATGACAAGATGTAGAGTGGCTTCATATGCGAGCAGAGAATAGGGTGAAAGGGATTTAACATAACTGCAAGTAGAGGTGGTTCACAGTCGTATCAAATTTTAAAAAAATTAAATTAGTTTTATAAAAATACATCCTGATTTATGTAAAGACCAACATGGTTTGATTTTACGATGCTTATTCACAATATAGGTTTAAGGCAACAGTTATTTCTTGAAAGAACATAATTGCTTAGTGAAGATATGAAGGTGGAGACACGTAATTTTTCTTTTCGGAGAGAATCACTGTTTAGACAGTGTTTGACTTATTGTATCAGGACCATTAAAGCAAAACAAATACAGATATGCGGAAAAGAAGAAGTTTTCATTTTTCCAAATGGGAAATGATACATCTTCTTTTTTAGAAATAATTATTTGGACTGGAAATTTTCAAATACACACCGATACAGGGTGGAAAATCTGATCGGAGAGAAATAAATATTGTACTACTCAAAACCAGAGAATTTAATAATTTTTGGTAACCTAATTTTTAAAGCATGCATGCGGTTGAATTAGGAATTAGCTGCAGATAAAACAATGAACAACAATCAAATTTCGAGAGAAACTTTTCCTAGCCAACACAAGCTTTTCTGAAATCTAACGCTAAGAAGAATTAAGGAAGAATACAGAGGAAGGAAGAGAGATTTATTTACATAGTGGCTGAATGAAACTTTCAACTAATACTTCATCATTTCAAACTACAAAATTCTTAAACTGTACCATGAATTGATTTAAAAAACAATTAGGTAAAGTCTATGATACAATTTAATCAGGCAAATCTTAAAAGCAATTAGTAATATGAGAGAAATACACAACAGCTAGGAAAGAAAGAAAAGATCAAAGGAGCCCAGAGGCTGAATTCCACCCAAAAGCCTATGATCGTATTTAATAAAAAAAATATTATTTCCGCCATTTTAAGAAAATTTCTTCCTTACAAACCTCCCTGCCCCCTTCTTGAGAAGTCAGACTGTACCCCTCTGAAGAATTTCTGGCTACGTTCCTGCTGCTGACAAGTAAAAATTAATGACAGGTCTTTCAATCAATGATAGGAGTATAGTCGCAGAAAACTCCTTAGAACCGAATGTTACTTTTCATTGGAGGGTCTGTCAGATTTCTCACCATTTATTACCAACGTTTTCATGAAGATTATATAACAAGAGTCAAAATTACAGCAATACAGAAGCAATCACCCTGTCATTTTAACTAACTTAGAAAGTCATCTAAGGAAGGAAAATGTATCATCAATGATAGGAGGAACAGTTGCTCTATTGGATCTAGAAGCTACATAACATCATTCTTAAAGCAGTATTGGTCATTAAGGCCGGATTTTAGACACGGAACTCAGAGCAGAACATGTGCACGAACGTCAAGAGAAAAGGGGAAGGAACCAACCTCGATGGAATTAGGGTATCCAGAGAAAATGTAAAACCGGTATGAGGGGTGCAAGCACTAAGACATCGGAAAATGTCCTCCTTACTTGAACTAGGCGACTCAAGCTCAGAATTGTAAATAACACGCATCAGTTCCAAACGATGTCTACAAAGTCACATAGATACCCGATTATGTTCAAACCAACGGAAAATAATTTACAATGAGGAAATAACGACTAAAACTAACAACAAAACAAAATAAAGACTTCATCTAGAGAGTTTTCACTAAACGAAACCCCACTTGCATAGGCACAGCCCTACACAACACGTTGATTGGGAACGGTAAACTCGATGTTAGTACTGTATTTTGGCCTAGATTAGGGATTAGAAGGAAAACATTTCAGAATAGCTTGTTGGCTGGTGGATGTTTAGTAAGAGAATTAGTTCTCTAGCTCTACAGAAATACTTAGTTCTCTTATTTTTTTAGACTAAATACTTATTTTTAATGTTACAGAAGAAGAAAATAAAAAACAACGGGTAGTATAATACAATGTGGCAAGTGAAACCAAAGGTGAAGAGGAACAGGATTACACAACTAAGAAGAACAAGAATCACAACAATTGATGCTAAACTTTAGAAAGACAGCCGCGGAAAAGACAAAAGGGGGGCTAGGTAACGATTTTGAATCGGAGGACGTAAATGAGAGCCAGCATGAAAGACGAATTGCAACCAGATAAGGAAAGTGCTATAGAATTTCACCTACAGGGTTGTAAATTCTCAGTTGCTTTTGAATCAGGGACATGCTCACATTTCATCATCTGAGCGCCTCAAAATATCTGCCCATTGAGGATTGTTATTGTAAAATTACAAGCAAAGCAAGCCCACTGCCCCCCACTTACGCAACGACACACCACAGTCTGATGATTATTTTTTTGTTACAAGTCTTTCATATTGACAATGGACTCATAAGTAAAGTGCTACAGCCCTTTACCTTTCTGGCCGCATTCTAAAGAGCTAACTTAGTTACCGATGGTTGGGAATATAAATTTCGCTGCGGGCGGCTTTCTAAAGTATTTTCAAAATTAAAATGGTGTAGGCGCATGTGCAAAGGAGGGAAAAGAAACCATTGAAATGTTGAAACACTTAGAATAGATAAATACTAAACAGACAAGAGATTTTTCTACCACCAGGAAAAAAGTTCTACCAACTTTCTGCAAGCCATAAGATCGCTTGATTGTGTAGTTTTTTTTATCTCTCTTAATGGTTGTCTGATACATGAAGCAGAGCGAGATAAATATGGCTTGCAGAAATTTGTGTAGTGCATAAATTAAGATGGCTTGATACTGCCACCATTAAAAATCTAAACCCAAAATTGACTTGTGAATAACTTTAGGATGAATATTTTGATAGGACATTAATTTTCTAAATGTTTCTTTGCCTATTGCATATGGAATTTGGAAGCTTTGAAGAAGAAATTGGCAGACCATGGGCCATGAAAGATAGATACCTTAATTTTTCCAAAGACCAGTAGTGCGTAGCTCCATTTTTCAAATCCGAAACTTCTACAGCGACAACAGTTCTGGGAAATGGTCTCTCATCATCATCGACATCTTGAGTAGAAATAAGGTCTGATGGTAGTGGAGAGTACAGAGTGTCGGTGAGCAGTGTGAATTGGAACTGAACCTATGATTTGAAGAATAAAAGTTAATGGAAAAGATAATAAAATTTATCATAATTTTTCAACCGGCAATCTATGGAAAATATAAATAAATATTGATGGAGAAAATACTCGTATTTAGAGAAAAAGGCTGAAAGTACATTGTGTAAAGAATACTTGAAAATAACATACCTTCTTCTTTAACTCGACTGATATTGCATTTGCTTCCTTCAAAAATATTGCATTTCCCCATAGATCGTCACGCAGTGATGTGAACTGATGATATTTCCACTTGCGAAACGCCCAAGCTGCAAGCTGATACTCATTCTCGTTCCAGGTGCATTCAGCATCAAAAAGAGGGTTCACTATTTCAAAAAAAAGAAGGCGATTGAGACTTGAAAGGGAAAACAGTAACATACTCATACAACCTCCTAAAAATAATCATCATCAAAATTTCAAAAAAGTCAGAATCGGTAATCAAGCAATCGACGTCTTTTCACATGTTCTGAAAATCAAAATAGAAAACTCAGGAGGGAGAAATATCGTTGCTCCACTAACGTAAGGACGTACTTCGATTTTTGCATGGGTGCCAGAAAGCATGGATTTATAATGTAAAACAGGGCTCACAAGTAAATTGAAATATGCCCTTCCATCAGAGGGGTGACAAGTGATGATGAAAGCAAAAAAAATAAACTTGATAACAAAATTTTTTGATTGAGTATGTATGGCACAGTTCGTTAAGATGTACAAATTTTGGCAAAAGATAAATACCAGTGAAATTTTATATTCTGAACTTTTTCATTTCTTTTTTGTATGGGCTTTTTAGCTTGTTTGTATTACAATTGATTAATGAATGAATAAAATAAATAAATAAGTACTGGCTGGTATAACTACTATCTTTCATGCAACTTTTTCTGGAGCTTGCTTGAACTTGATAAAGGCAGAGTTGCTGATTCAATATTTGAGGGTAGGGAAGACAAAACATACACTCTTCAAGAGCAAGGGAGACATTCAATCATTGGCTAACATACTTTTTTCCTTTTTCGTATACTCGCATGACAAGCCTAGATCCTCTCTATTGTAACTCGGAACAGAAACCCCTTCTCTACACCTAAAATATTTTTGTCTCCAACAAATAGCACAGTTCCGAGTAGTGCAGTAGCAATTTTTTCATTTTGACTCTTTCCGTTCATCGTAATGTCCTGTAAGACAGGTGCAAACCCCTTAGTTAATAATTTAATGTTGTCAAACGATCACTTACAGAATATGTCATCATCATGCGTGAGGTCTTCTTGAGTATAGGAACTGTACATCGACATTGTCATGCTTTGTTCTTCCACCTGCTTCTGAAGTGCATCAATTCGAGCTTCATACGTCTGAAAAATAATAAAGGGACTTACAGAGTGATGGGGATAGACACTGTTACATTTTCATTGAAATGATAGGATGGAAATCCTCGTAAGAATTGAATAATTGGGCTTAAGATTGACAAAAAATATTTACTACATGATTAGGGTTAGGGAAAGCGTTGCACACCATTGATTGATATTTGTCCCAAAATCGTAATGATGAATACCCTCTGCAGCTAGAAGTTTGGTTTCTCCCTTCTTTCCGCCTAAAAAGATTTTAAAAAACAAGTTTTGGAAAACTTGCTTTTTTTACTTCATTTATTTTTTCTTTTAAATACAGAAATTACTTACTTTTCTTTGTTCCTCGAACATTTGATCTGCCGTTTGCTTTTCCTTCCTAAACTGTTCCTCCAGAGCGTTCAGTCGCTGTTGCATTTCTGCCCGTAGGTCGATGCCTTGATTTTTTAATAATTCGCTTTGAGCAAAATTCCAATCAACAGTTTCCCCGTTGTTGGGCGTCTCTGCCGGTGATAGTTTCTTCTCATTCTCAGAAATTACTGCAAGGAGATTATTAAGAGAAAAAATTACTTTCTCTCAAAAGATTTAGGCATCAAATAATATAATTTTTGAAAATTATTAAAATTGAAAGAGAAAAACTCTATTTTGAAAGGTTTTGATAACTTGATTTAAAGATGTCAATAAGAAAATGAATGGATCTGTTTCACATAAGAAATACAGCCGACTGAGTGCACTTAAAAGTGCTAAAAATGCACAAAAATCACGTTGAACGCATCAAAAATGTCTATGATCCACTCCTTAGTGCATAATGTATAATATTTAAAAAATGAGTATTGGAGGAAATAAAATTAACTAAAGAGGACTTCTAAATATAATTTGAAAAGACAGGAGGGTTATCGAAGAGCCAAAATAAAAAACAAATTAAAGATACATAAAGAAAAAAATTGAAGTAATTTTACATACCGTTCAAATTATTTTCATTTTCATTGATTTCTTGCAGATTTTTCTTATTTTCACGTCTTTCTCGTACTGGAAAGGAAAAAAAACCAACAATGTAAGGATAAACAATATGAAAGATATTTGAGATAAATTGTAAAGATATTTTAAACGACAAAAATTTCATGAGAAATGATAAAAGTCTTGCACTAATCACAAAATGCCGAACACATATAAACTAGGTATCACTAGAAGAGTGGCCTTGAGGCAAAAAAAAATTAAATTGATTCGTAAACTTGTGTTCATTTTGATTCTTCTTCTTCTTCTGACATCTTGAGCTACAAAATCTATCAGAAGTTATTGAATTATACTTTTAAGTTCATTTATGGATAGCACACATGCATTTTTGTCTGTGACTACAGCTGTCGAAAGATGCAATGATGCAACTTTTCATACTTTTAAATCATAACTCAGAGTGAAAGATACAGTTAACAGATATTCGTTTAACTTAAATTAATTCTTCATGAATAAATAATGCAGAAATTTCCAAACCTTGATCAGGGTGGTTGAATCGGAACACATGGTTTTTGCCCAAGATCACTCTGGAGCCTGTTTTCAGGACGATCGGCGCGTTAATTTGCCGACCATTGACATAGCATAAACTATTGGGATTTGGAGATAACGTCACAGTGCCATCCTTGTTCAAAAAGGTACAATGCTCTAAAAGAATGTGAGATCCACTGAGTTGAATTTCATTTTGATTTCCAGCGCCTACTCTTGTCTCACCATCTTTGATGTAGTAAATCAAACATTCTGACATGAAAGGATCTTCATTCAGGTTGACTAGATGCGGAGTCTGAAAGAAGGGAGAGAATAATCATGATAAAAAAATGACAATAAGTGAAAATACACTTCAATAATTAAATATTTTTTGGTGATCTAGTCTAGTTTAAAAGGTAGGAATGGATTCAGCTTGAAGGTCAGTTGCATTAGACATTGCAAAGATGAGTAAAAAATACAACAGATTCAACAATTTTGAAAAACTAAAAAATTTCATTACTAAAATACTGAAAAGTCAGCTAAAAACTCTCAAAACACTCACTGTTTGTTAATAATTCTTGTACTTCCAACAAACCAGATGGCCGTAGCAGTATCCGCGGATACTGTGCGGATGATTCGAGTGTGGCCTACCACTCGTTTTGAAGGGGCTCTACACTCGATGAGTTCGGAGTTACCTGACTTTTCTGAGAATTACTTTCAAAGGTCAAAAATGGGTGAAACTACTCACTTGTTATCAGTATCTGAAAAACAGAAAAAAGTACACACCTTCTTTGGGGAAAACACGCCAACAGTATCGCCATCTTCTTTGACTGCAACACCCATTTCGGCAAAAACAGCCTCTCGCTGAAGTCGAATCTCTTCCGTTCTTTTCAGTTTTTCTTCCCAGGTCTCATTTAGTTCTGTGAGAAAAATGACAATTAATATTAATTTCATAAAAAAAAAAATTACCTTGATTAAACTAGATAAGTAATCATTTCTAGAAATTAAAAAAGAAAAAGAAAAAAGGCAAGCAATACTTTCAAAACTGAAAATGGTGTGCCAAATCGCTTACCATGCATTTATTAACATATTTTTTGCATTTTTTTACAGACAATTATGGCTATACATTATGATTGTACATGATTCCATTTTTTCCTGCTCTTTCTCGAGACTCTTTTATGAAATGGTCGTCTACACATGAAAGATCTTCCTTGATCTTCTATAGAGCATTTGAACTGCAAAAATCTATTTACAAAAAAAGAGCCATTAAAAATGTGCCAAGTACCTGCAATGAGCTTTTCACTGGCTTGTAGTTGGTCAACTGCTTGCTCGGCAATTGACGGCGAGATTTTGCGACCCAGGCCATCTTCATCCTCAGATTTCATGAGTTTCATACCATCATCACCTGATTGAGAGAGAAAAAAAAAATTATGTTAAGTCAAAATCATTGAATATTAACCTGATACATCCCTTGACTAAGTGATGAAGTAAATGCTTCGATGTGTTAAATATTCACAAATAAGGTGTACAGTACAAGAGATTACAGCGGACTCGGAAATAAAAGTTTAAAATGAGAAAGCAAACAAGGAGACATGACAAGAGGTTTACTTTGCCCTTCGAGAAACTACAAGAAACGGGTACCCAATAAAAAAAGTCAGTCCTCCCAAAAATTAGTTTGGATGATCCGTTACGGATAAACCGAGCCATAGTTTATATGGTTCTCTCCTTGTTTTCTTACTTTATTTAGGCTTGCTCCTCCTTCACATTTATTTGAATAAATTGATTTATTACCGGCAAAAATTAGTGTTAACAGCATCATACTCAAGAGAATGAACTTCACAGTTAATGACGCAGAGGTGTAAAACAGAACCAGAAACTAAGAATGTAATTTACCTTCATGTATTTCTATTCCTTCAGCTTTGAGTAACTCTCGCAATCGTTGAATTTCCTCTTTCAATTCTCTAATCAGTTTAGCATTAGCGTCTTCATTGACAATAGCTTTGCACACTATCTGTTTGGCTCTATCAGCGTACCTGAAATGGAAATTCAAAATATTATTTTAAGATTTAAAATCAAGAGTACAATAGTTCAAAGTGCTGAGTTTTCAATAAGATCACACAAACCACGGTTCATCATTTCTTTTTCTTTTGCCAGAGCTGTTTATCCTCCTTGTGCCCTTCAGAGTGCTCTCTAACTCCAAACTCTCTCTGGGCATCCCTTTTGTCTCCTCCCGGTAAGAACCAAACTTGGAACTCTTTTCCAGTCGCTTCTCTTTAGTCATAGACCTCAAACAAAATGTCATCCTCTACTTTCAAGCTACTTGCCTAGCTCTGCTATAATTCATCTCCAAATATTCTTAATTTGTTTACCCAACTGCAAAATCTAAAGTATTCGTGATACCTAATTACTTTTCACGGTGGCGCCGTCTTGTTTTCTTTCAAAATGATGAATGTTCAAAGAGTTGGACTTGGAGCAGTCAATTTTTAGTTAGGCAAGGATGTGAGGACTGTAATTTTAAACTTACGACTTTAAGGACAAATATTTACCTGAGTGTTGACAGCGTTTCATCATAATTAATGTCGGCTGGACTAATAGCTGCAATCATGGCTGTTTTTGAATTGCCACCCAAATTTTCTCTGAGTAACCATGTTAAAACTGAGTCTCGATATGGGATGAAATCAGCTTTCTTTTTCTTTTTGGTAACCTGCAAAAAGAAGGAAAAATTTACAAATATTTGTAGAAAAAATTATGCGTCTGTGAAATATATTAACCTGATATGGGAACACATTAAAACAAACAGAATCGAGAATATAAAAAATTCGAGAGCATTCGCAAATGACCTTAACAACTGACAAAGCAAAGAAAAATAAACGAGGAACAGAAAAAAATATTTTGGAAAGAATTTTAAATTACTATCAAATTCCTTGTCAAAAATTAATTAATCGACCAGTATTTTTTATGGAAACAGGTTTGGCTTTTTTTGTGGAAAAAATTACAAGTGACATACTGTGCACGCCCTATTGAATAATAAGAGTTGCTTGGGGGGAAAATATACTCCTTCCCATAGAAATACATTTGCTTTCTCTCTTTTTTTCTTCTTTTTTCCCTCCTCTATGAATTTTACAGCGATGCAATGGTGCTTTCAGATCATTATACATGCTGTTGTCCAAGGTAAGAATGCTGTGCTTGCATTCCAGATTTTGCAAATTGTTTTTTCAAACAAAATTCTCCTTTACAGAGATAAGTATCTGATAAATTTGGTAGTTTATTTTTTCAGTAAGAGTTCCTAATAAAATAGCACAGTCACACAGAGTATACCATGAATGATGAGCACATCAATAGAATCTTGCAATAAAACATTTTGTCAAGAGAGGGAATTGAAAAATGTATAGCATTCTGACTTTGGACAAAAGCAGGTGTATCTTAGGGCTTTGACATCTAATTTCGAAAAAAGTTGAAAATAATAAAAGAGAGAAAGAGATGGATAGACACAGTGAATATTAAAGTATTACTGTAACATGCCATAAACATGAAACTGACAGAGACAATAGAAAAGCGCTTTGAATCCCAGGTGCAAAATATTCTTAACAGTTTGCCATCTTGAAGCACCCCTCTTTTGATTGGTTTCGTTTAAGTTGAAGTGCGTTTCTAGTTTCTACAAATAGGGGATTGGATAAACTTTTTTCTAACCTTACTACCATACCCCCTTAAAATTAATTTACTGCGTCAAAGTAGCGAGGGTTCTTTTACAATATTTGGATCCATGGGTTGTGAGACTAGAGATTTTTCACATTCCGGGGATTATTGACACATAAATTTTATTTAAACTTAACAGTATGAACTGAAAAAAGAAGGCAAAAGAAAACGGAAAATGACAGATAGAATTAAAGAAAAAGAAAAAGAAACAACAACAAATACGTACTATGTACTTACAGACTGAATCGATCCAAATTAAATCGTCAGAAATGAGAATAAAACAAACAAAAAAACATAATTTTATTAGAGTGGAGTTGGACAAGATACAAATTAATTACATCATACATCATATTTTGGGCAAAGATTTAGAGGGTTTTTCAAACAATTCATTGTCTCATTGAAACCATCATGCAGTTATTTGCAACAATATCTTTTTATGTTCTTTTACTCTGTGTTAGGTTCAGTTATTAACCTCTTTAATTGGATTTAAATATTGTAGCTGAGACATTTTGGATAATTTCCACAGGATTAGACAGTCAGTAGTTCACACATACACCACCAGAAATAATGTATCACCGAAAGTTAATTAAGGTCAAGGTTTAATATAAAAAGACAAAGAGAGAAATACAAAGTGAAGAAACACATTAACCCTACTTCCAATGTGAATTTCTAGGTTTCAGTCTTCAATTTTTTATCCTAATTATTCTCTTAAGGTCTCATGAAATGGACATTATATGATCTACACTTTTTCATGAGGTTAGGAATTTTAGGATGAAAAGTAATAAAGAAGGTCCTGATTTGCAAAAATGACAGTACCAATTTCTATAGCAATCTTCCTAATGTTTTTCTTTTGGCTGGAATTAACAGCATATGTTCAATGTGGCTTCGTCTAAAATAAGGTAGTTTTTTATCAAATGGTCAGCTACGTTGTGCAAGTTTAATTCCAAGTGTTCCAAGTAATCTAAGTCTGTAGTGCTGAGCAAATACGAAAAATTGATTGATAAGTCAATTTTTTGTTTGTTTATTCATTTCTTTTTTTAAATTTGTAAACGTACTTGGCAATGAGTTTGCTTCGTTCACGGCCAATTAGAAACTAATTAGCCAATCAGAAACAGCTGGCAAACGCACTGACAGTGGCAAAATAAAGACGGCTAACTCCATTGAAGATTCACAGTATGATTCTAAGAAATGAGTCAAGAAATACTTTAGACAAATTAAGTTTTCTTGCTTAAAACTTTAATTTTTTCTGTACTTATTTTGAATAAGGCTAGGTGATCTTCATTATCAACTTACAGAAGGAATCGTTCGATGTGCGAAAATGAAAAAAGAAAGAATATCGTCAGAGAAAAATAAAGTATTACAGTACTTACAATTTCTGCTAGAGCTGATATGACCTTCCCTAAAGTTGTAAGACTCTTATTAATGTTGGCGCCCTCTTTTAAACGGGTTCCTTTAGCACCAGTTGAATCTGCTCTTTCTGAACCTGCTAAATCGACTAGAGAAATTTTACTGACTTTTTCAGTGCTTAGAGACGTCATTTCATCAAACCGCCTTTGCGTGAAAAATATTGTGAAGACAGCATGAGATCGACTAGAGGTTTCATTCATATTAGTGGCAGCTACCGTCCTGGAAAAGTATGAAATGAATATTTCGTTAGAAAAATTTAAAGGATTACATTGGAAGAATTTTTTTTATTTCTGAAAACAAGTTTTCTGTTTATTTTTCTAAAGAAGGGTGAGGTCAAGTCAAGGCTCCAGTTCATTTCTTTAAAGGGAGGGGATAAAAAGTTGCTCAGTTTGACTTGATAATACACCCCAGAATGCTAAAATTCATTTTAAAAGCTCAATTCAGAAAAAAAAAACTTTCGAATTTCATTATTCCTATTCTGGTATATTTAAAGCTTAAATTTTCTTACAATTAGCAGAAGACGCTACAAGGACCAACTGAAGCGATGAAAAATTATATAAAAGAGAACATTGGTGTAAGTAAAACATTTTGACTACCTACCTTGCTTTGTTGCCTTCATCGATTAGATTATGAATGTCTTGATAGGACGTAACAGCTAATTTGGACAAATCTTCAACATAGGGACCCAAAAGAGGGTGTTCTCTAACACGCAGATTTCCTTTATTTTTTGGATTTAACAGATCACGAACTCTTTCACAATAAATTTCCATGTAACTAACCTGTAAAAATTAAAAAATAAATAACATTTAAAAATTGTATTATTTAATTGTAAAAAAAAAAAAAAAAAAAAAAAAAAAAAAAACTTGCTATGTTTTGAACTTATTTGCACTTTTATTATTACACATTCAAACGTGTTTCAATGACTTTAACCCGGAGTCCCGGGTTATCGCTGATAATGAGGGCAGAAACCTCAAAATGCCTTCCAAAATTTAATAAAAAAAAGTGCAAGTGAAGTCAAAATATAGATAAACATTTTTACATATTCTTGTACTGACTTCAAAAGTGTTTCTATTTTAAGAGGTGTTTAATTTATTTTTATTTAATTTTTTGCTTTTAAATTTACAGTTATGTCTAATGGCCAGTTTGCCCGAATGAATATCCGTGCAAGACTGGCAAGATAGAGTGTGCAGCTCAGGTAGATGTATTCAAATACTAAGCTGGGGTCAAACTGAGAGATCTATAACGTTTCGGGTCTTTTTAGACCTCATCAGTAGATCACACTTGTCAGTGAGCCCAGCTCAACTTAGCTTCACTTGGCAGTAATGTGAAGGAAGGAGAAATAAATAACAAATTACCTCTACAGAATAAGCTAATTCATCACAAGTAGTACTTCGAATCCTTTGGAATAAATCTGAACAAATTAGAGGTATTATTCCTTCTTCACCCTCTACATCTTGTCTGCCCATCATAGTATAAGATTTGCCCGCACCAGTTTGACCATATGCAAAAATGCATACATTGTAGCCTAAAAAAAAGAGCGTAAGAGAAAAGCACAGTAGTTATTTCATCCAATGGTAAAGGAAAATCGTTTGCAATGCACAAATCATACTGTTTAAAGTAATCATCTCTTGGGAAATCTTTCCATTCTCACTGCTTTTCTTGCAGTGGGGTTTTTGAGGTTTGGGTTTTCATCCTACTAATTTGTTGTTGGAAAAGAATTAAATGATGAGAACATGAATGCACTCTTGCAAAAATTGGGATAATGAAATGTTTATGCTTTTCAAAAAAAATTTATTATTTTATAAATTTAATTCCTCACTTTGAAAACGACCCAACTCAGGTTCAATCACCTGCTTAGAAATACTCCTTTTCTTTTTGTAACCCAGTTTCTATCGTCTCCTGAAAAGTTTCATTTTTCCAAAACGGGTCATTTTTCCAAAACGGGTCATTTTTCCAAAATGGGTCATTTTTCCAAAATGGGTCATTTTTCCAAAATGGGTCATTTTCAAACTGAACGATTCAATTATCTGTAAATTATAAGTAAGAGACATACGATTATTTTAAAAAAAATATATATATATTGCTTCTATAGAATCTCTTTTTCAGCTAACTCTATAAGTGTCTCAATTGGGTAAAAACGTGACATTGAATTTTTCTTCTTCTTCTTTGAAGTTTGAACCCCTTTTCCTTCTTCAATATCTGTTGAAAAGGTTTCTCCACTACAGAAGTTGACTTAGAGGATCATTTTGATGCCGAAAAATTGTCAAAACTTCCTAAATACGAAGGTCAACCCTCGCTCTTTTCCTCAAACATTCACACAATTTTGATCCCGAAATTGAGAGGCAAAATACCTTAAACACAAAAAAACAAAAAAAAAAAACAAACAGGCAAAACTGACAAAAAAATTCTGCTCTGAGCTTTAATTTTAGGCTATATTTGAGCCCGGAGGAAAGAGGAGGCAAGAGCGAGGGCTGAGAGGGTTCTATGTACTTGTATTAATTTTTTACTTTTTTTAAAACCTTGTAATTCTGACCACCATCCTCCCATCCCCGTAAATAAAACTCTTCTAACAAAAATTTCATTAAAACACATACTTAGAGCTTTGGCAAGAATAAAGCAAAACATAAGCAAATATACAAACCTTCAAATGCATGTTCCAACATCTCCTCCCCAATATCTTTATAGACCATGATTTGAGATGAAAAATTAGGATCATCAGGCTGTGAAACAAAGACAATTAGGTGGATTAACATTGTATACAAAAACGTTATTTATAATATACTTCTCAAATTTCTACTTCAGGTGAAAAATTCAAAAGTTTTAGAGGCTCAAACATTAAAGTATAAATTCATTAAACTTGACGCTGAGAACTGATAGTAAGTTGGAATATTAAAAATCATGTCTCATTAATGTGCAAAAATAGTAAAACGAAAAATGTTCATTGAAATGTTAGCAGAGTAGCCACTTGGCTTGAAAAATCTTACTGAAATACCCGATTAAACTAAATCACCACTCTCCTGACCATTGGCGGATCCAGCGAATTGGCAACATTGCTTTTCTCCAATTAAACCGATGAAAATGTCTCGATTCTTAGAGGGGACAGGTGCCCCGACAAGAGTCGATTATTTAACATAGTTTTAAATGGAAGGAATCCGTTGTTGCCGAATTGCTAGATCCGCCCCTGCTCCTGACATAAGGGCGTAACTGTATTTCGCGATGAACCCAGTAGCGAGGCTTGAATGATCAATTATCGATATTTCCCCATTTGAAACTGTGATAAAGAATCGATAATCAGGGTGTTCGTTGCGGACACCCTGTTTATCGATCCTTTTCCATAGGTTTAAATGGCAGATATATCGATATATTGCAAAACACGCCACGCCACTGGATGAACCCTGTTGTCCATTAAACTCAACGCTTTCCTGGGCTCTCCTTTAAGAGAGGGTTACGCCCTTCTACCAGCCAAGCGACGAAATGTTGTAAAAAGTCTGCAAATATAATAATAAAAATAACCTCCACGGCGTCAGAAAAACTGTCCGAAAATACAATACTAAAAGTGAACAAGTGCAGTATGAAAACTACTTACATTGTGAGACCAGTACGAATAATCATAGTTGAAGCTTTTAACAGATTCTTTAGAATTTGGAGGCATCTTGGGATTGGCAATTGCTGCAACAAAAATATAGCCATTATTAGTGGAAGGCAAAATGGGTTACATTGGGAAAGAGAGGCATCTGCTGAAAAAACTGTGCTTCCCTTGGTATAATGATCCTTCAAATTGAGGGACTTAGAGGACAAGGAGCATAAGTGAAGTTTTTGAAAAAATTGAGAAATTAATGATTTCTAGTAAAACTAGTCTTACTGCAAAGTCTACGAAAAATTCGCTCCCGAATTCCAATTTTTAAGCATCAAAAAGTCAGTTTGAACTTTCTTTCCGCCGTAAGGATCCGTGTAACTGCGAAACTTTGAACACGTATTTCTCGAAATAGGTACCAAAAACTGCACTAATGCGCCTTGTCCTCCAAGCCCCTCAATTGAGATGTCAAGGTAACTAGTTTTTTGAAAATCCAACGACTAAAGATATTGAACATAGACACAAACAAATTCTTGGCAGGAAAGAAAAGAATAAAATATTTTGTAGAAGTTCCGCATCGAAGACATGATACAATTGAAAGCCCTTTTGAGGTAAAATGTAGATTTTTGCTGACACTAACTTCCCGCATTTGTATCACAGTTTATAGTAAACTAAATATCGTAATCGTAAATCATCTATTTTTGGCGATTGTGTTTTTTTGATGCTACAACATTCATTAAGACTGTTCAATTATGTGTGTGGAAGGGGGGGGGGGATAATGTAGAGAAAATTGCGATCAAAAGATGTAAACTTCTGTAGCACTCATCGATGCATCATGCGGTTAAGGATCAAAATCCTCCCAAGAAACTCAGAACAGCATGATACAACTATTTTAACTTCCCTGTGGCTTAAATTGCATAACCAACGATTCGAAGGCGAACTTAAACTCATGGCGTCATTCGGCGAGTTAGTAATGGGAAAGCGCTGCTGTTTCCTCATTCCAATTAGCACGTCCGAGTAATGCAAACTTGAGAGGACACGGTCGGTCACCTCATCGCTTACTTGCAGGCAGAATATCATGAACCGAAACATTCATGTTGCCAGACTTCTTAAAATTTGTTTAATTGTGTAAAGAGAGACGTAGAGCGCAGATCATTGAAAAATGTACATGGCCGCCATGAAGCAAGGAACTTCAGCATATGGAGGCACGTTTTTCCAGTGACGCATTTTTATGCCAAGAAATCAAAATTTGCGGTTCCAATGGAAAACTGTGGGTAATGACCTATTGAATAATTCGCGAAAGGTTTTAATCATTTCCGGTCTTATGCGTATCTGTATTTTTGCGTGGGCTTTCGGAAGTACGAAAATATATCGATAACCGAGGTACGAAACCACGTATCTTCATTTGCGACTCCGTAGACACCTTGTCATACTTTCCTCTTCTGTTTTCCCTGGTAAAAATTGGCAGTGGAATCTGTTATCCGAAATACCATTGACCTACAGCCGGCTTTAAGATTTCCAATAGCTTCTATAGCCGGCTACACAATTTCTTATAGCCTTTTATAGCCGATGGCGATTAAGCAACAGCCGGGCGATAAAGTGTATGCTAAACGTTACTAATTACGGATGCTTGGACTCAGTGAGTTTTTGGAATACTGCTCTCTTTTTGGGCCGTAATCTTGATTTATTTTGCGAGGAAAGCTCCGTACTTATGATGGATGCCTGCCATTACTATTATATTAAAGCGCCTTCAGTTTCGTATAATACTGTGCATACCTCTGGTGAGAAATAGTTGCTTCAAGCGCAATGGCACGCTGCGGCGCGGCAGGCGGGCAGCCAGCGCGAAACGCGCATTGGCGCCTACAAACCTAACAGGGATACTTCACGCGTTGCGCAATGCGTGAAGTATCCCTGTTAGGTTTGTAGGCGCCAGTGCGTCGCAGCTCCGCTTTGTGTTAGGCTCTAATATTTAATCTGGCGGAGTCAGCGTTATTCAACTCATGATTTTGAAATGTTTGCACATCCTGTAAGGATTATTCTCATTTTAATTGATGAAAAATAATATGTATTAAAGGAAAATATAATGTGTGTTTTGTAAATATTAAGGTGGTTCCGTATCAAACTTAATGATTTCCCAAGCACACGAATTTCTACACAATTTCTTATAGCCTTTTATAATCGATGGTGAAAAAGCAACAGCCAGGCGATAAAGTGTAAAGCCCAGCGATAGGAACTATAGCCCGGCTGCATAATTTTTTATCGCTTCGTATAGCCCGGCTGTATGATTTTCTCCGCATTCTACAGTCAGCTATATGATTTTCTGTAGCCTTCTTTAGCCGGCTATAAGAATTCCTATGGTATTTTGAAACGCAGCTCTTATCGCCAATTTTTACCAGGGTTTTTTTCTTTCTTTTTTTTCTTTACTTTTCTTTTCTTTTAGATAAACTAGTCACCGTAATTTTTCGAAAACCTCTTTGCTTTTTTTTCTCTGTCAGCAGAATAGTGTGTATAAATTGCAAGCTATAAAGTTGACTTGTTTCCCTTCGAAAATATAAAATAGGAGCGGAAAATGTTGAAACACTGCGATGAGGATACGTGGTTTCACGCTTAGGGCATCGATAAACATGGACTGTTGTAGGAGTCCCCAGGGCTCATCTCACATACAAGTTTCGCCTTCACGCCTGAGACAGTAACGATTCTAGAAAGTTGGCAACACTATTGTTTCTCCTTTTAAATGTATGTGAAACAATCTATTCTTGGTGAGGCAAATTGCCCCAACTAATATCGATAATTTTTATGGGGTTACCTAAATTGAGAAAAAACAGTATTTTTTTCTAGCTTTCAAGAATCGTTACTAGTTAAACGAGCGACAATTCGTGTGACAACGAGGAACGGGAAACTCGCACTGAAATCCAACGAGTTTGGCCCCCGAACTCGGCGAATCAAAACTTCGGGTACTTAGCCTCTTTCTAAAACTTATGTATTTTTAGTTTTATTTTTATTTTTATTTTTCTTTCCTTTCTTTTCTTTTCTTTCTTTTCTTTTCTTTTCTTTTCTTTTTTAGACTGGAGGGATTTTCTAAGATGATGTCATGGCTCACAAGTACGAATGCCGGTCGGTTGGTTTTCAACTTCCTCCTTTCTCATAATCGGACGTGTTTATGCTAAAAGGAACTATGTGCATAGGGTTTGCGTGTAACATAGTTCCTTTCAACATAAATCCGTCCAATTTATACCAGGAGGCGCGCCATCTGCGCGGTAAACGACTCGCGACGAACCGAGGAAAAACACCGTGTGAGGCTTTGGACGTTGCCATATTTATTTTGAAAAAATACGAATTATTTGGAAAGTTTTAAAAATCGGTCTTCCAATTTTACACAATTGTTTACAGAACTTCTTACAATTTTGTTCGCAATTTAATCCAAAATATCTGAAAATTATGAGTAAAAATATGCATAACTTTTCCCCACATTAAATTTTGGGGAGGGGGGGGGGGGGATTTAGCGTCATTTATATGAACGTAGAAGGGAAACAAACCACATCAAATATTGCCAAATTTAATTGGGCAATTTAATTTTTTACATGAAAATGGTTGTTCGGCTTTTTATACAAACAGCGAATTTTCTGCGTAGAACGAGGCAAAATGCTTGACATTTTCAAAGGAATCCGCACAAACGTTCTCTTGTAAAAAATTAAATTGCGCGGTTATATTTGGCAATGACCGATGTAGCTCGGTTCCTTTCTGCTAAACGTGGTCCAAATGTTTATACGGCGTTATTCCGTAGCACGGCAGAATATTACATACTGCGGGTAAATACGGACAGGTAGGAGGCAACACCGAGGAAAAATACCGGTGTATAGATCGATATCAAGGATAATATTGGACTGGGTCGTCTCCTTCTTCATACAGTAAAAACAATTAAAATTGCCCGGTCCAAGCATAGACGAACCGGCATTTTTGTGTACTTTTCCGGCACCTGCCGCGGTCGGCCATTGGCGTGCTTCGCGATATATAGCTTGATCTGCCATTTAAACCTATAGAACAGGATCGATAAACAGGATCTTCGCAACGAATACCTTAATAATCGATTCCATAGCTTCAAATGAGCGGAGAGATGTCGATAATTGATCATTCATGCTTCCAATCGCCACTAGTGGGGAAAAGGAAACTGACCATGCTGGGTGGAAAACGTACAAAATGATGCCTGGATCTATCACATTACCGAAAATGGCAATAATAATTATAGGAAATCGAGTTTTTTTTCGAGATTTGCCAAACTTTTTTAAATGAACTGGATGATTCAGGTAATACGGCATAATAATTCGCCCTTCTTTCGAAATGCGAAGGTTGTCGGAGAGCGGAGATTTTATTATAAAACTTGACGTCATTTTACTGCAGTGGCGTGGCGTGCTTTGTGATGTATCGATTGATTTGTAATTTAAACATATGGAAAAGGATCGAAAACAGAACGCCGCAACTGCAACTGCTGTCTTGCTTAGCATGAAATAGACCACGCCTAGCAGAAAGGAACCAAGCCACACGAGTAACTGCTGCCTTAACTGGGCGATTTGATTTTTTACCAGAAAACTTTATTGCGGATTCCTTTGAAAATTTTAAGGAATTTGCTTCGCACTGTGCAGAAAATACACCAAAATTTGCACAAAATTCCGCTCAACCGTTTTAATGTAAAAAAATTAAATTGCCAAATTAAATTCAGCAATAGTTGATGTGACTTGGTTCCTTTCTGTTTAACGAAATCCAAATGGAAACGGCCCTATTTACGAAGTCGCAGAAAAAATTCGACGATTTTTATCATTCAAACTATCTCTAAGAGTGTTTTGCAAAAGTATCGACAGTATAAAGAGCGGTAGATTCGCTTAATGACATTAACCGACGCTACTAGGTTTATTTCTTGAAACAATATTTTCGCACTTCTCGTTTACTTCATTATCGCGGCGGAGAAGTTGACGAAGTTACTTCCGTGGAGACGGAAGTTCAACGAACTGTAAATATTGACGGGGACAAGTTCATGAATTCTTAATTTTCGCAAGCGCGTCGCGTCGCGGTCAGTGGCGAGGCG